AAAAAAAGAATTTACAAACAAGAATTTAGAACAAACGTAGTTATGAAGTAATAAACATTAAAAAAAAAATTGAATTCAGAACCTCATTTTTGAAGTCCGTTAAAAACAAACATACTCACTTCCACATTTAAAATATTACCTACAGCATGGGGTTCTTCAAAAGGGGGGTAAAGAGGTTTCGTCAGGGTCCGCAACGCGCGCGTAATACCTCTGGTATTGCAGGTGTTCATAGGCTACGGTAACCATTTACAATCAGGCCGTATGCTTGTTTGCCACCTCAGTGGTATAAAAAAAAATATAGTTTAAGTAAAGATTATATTGTAATGCATTTTACCGTACTCATATACGTTTGTTTGTAAACATTAAGCGGATGCTACAGTATTCGATAAAATGTTTTCAACATTCTACATTAAAATAAAACAAAACTAGATATAAATTATATTAACTTATAATAATTTAACAACATAATTTTTTAATTAATCGCAATTATTATAAAATTTAAAATTTTCATGATAATAGTAGTAACTAGTAGAACAGCGGGTCTAGCATGAAATGAAATTCCGAAATTTCGGACTCAATTTCGTGTTTTTGTTTATACCAAAATCGGACCAATAAATGGAGTTTAACATTTCGTTTATCATACATCCTATCATAAAAGTCCAAAGGGACAATATTTTAACATTTTTAATATTTCCAAACGGCATGTATTATGTAATTTTAACATGAAATTTGTGTTTCGTTTGGCTCCAAAATTTCGGAAAACACTTCATGGTAGGCCCTCTGGATAGTAGAATTAAGATAACGATATTTTTTTTATTTTTTTTTTTTTTATTTCGAGGGATAGGCAGTAGTGCCTCTCTTAAACTGGACCTTAAGCTTGCCAAGTGTGGCAACTACTGGCAAAACCCCAATTATGGGAAAGGTTTGACAATTAGCTGACAAAAAGTTGACCCGTTTTTGAAACTCTATGCTCTATCTATATACGAAGAAAATATATATAAATGTATCTCCAACTATACCTGCTACTGTACTAAAGTCACAACAGTAACACAATAATTTACATTTGTTTATTCAAGTGTTTTATATATATAATATAATATCAGACAATCACTTTATTGTCCCTATGTTGATTTAATTCAACACATTAAAGTGAACGCAATACGCAAAACTTTGATGTAAACAAGGACGTTTTAAATTCAATTAATAATATTCGAATTTAGAACTCCATGTTCTAAATTCAAATATATTTAATTCAGTCTGTTTCGATTCAGTCATTTGAACCGTTAACTGCTTCACTGTAGAACATATGCTTTCTCCACACGAGGAGTATTGTCAATAGTTGCCATGCTTGGCAAACAAGTTGGCAACCACAATTAGGCTTTAAGAGATGTTTTAAGAAGGACGCTACTGTCCATATATTGACGTCAAAATTCCCACCCACCCACGGAAAAGGAAGGGGTGACCCATTCTATACCAGGACCACATAAACTCAAACTGTTTCAATACAACTTGATAATAACTATAAATTTACTCAAAATAAAAAAAAACGAGACAAAGGAACCTATATAGAGAGCTGATGACAATGAAACACCTGAACAAGTCTCCATAAATTGTAGTCAAGGACCATCTCAATCACGTCAGTTTTCAATCAATAAAATACCCAATCGATCCATTCGTTTAGGAGCTAAGATACCACAGATAGACATTACAGTACGTCGAACTTATAACACCCCTTTATTGCGTCAATGTTTAAAAAAGTAAGTAAGTTATGTTGAAATTTTGACAGAAGCACTCTCTACATGAAGTTGATAATTGATAATTCTTTATTTAATAACAAGTTAGGTTATAAACAAAATGAAAATTAAAAATAAAAAATAATAAGAAAAAAAAAAGTATCTCGACTTGGTTTATGAGGTGACCGAAATGTGACGTCCACCAAACGGCGGTCTTATCTCAACCAGTCCGGAACAACACCTCAGACGGTTGGGATTCCGAGGCGGCTCTCTTCCGAAAAGGATGCAGAAAGCGGTGCTCTCAGATACTACCCGCATAGTACGCAGTTTTTTCTCCTTGGGACCCTGCCGACAGTGCTTGTACCAGGGTTTCAGGGTTTTTTGTTAATGAATGATATTGGAATGGTATCCCGTCTGCGCTATCGGTATACGCTAACAGGGCACCAGTCAGATATGATAGGTGACGATGAAAGCTGTTCAGTTAGCCCATCATGACGAATTTCACTAGAATTATCTATGATAATTTCCAGGGGGAACCACGTGGAGGTCGACCTGATGGAGCGTATTGCTAGCAATGGGGCAGCTGGACCCCATTACTAATAATCGCTTGCCCCCTATGCCAGGGGTTAGTTTGCGATCTCCTCTCTTAAGGAGGTGAGATCGACGTCCACGCGGTTCCTGGCAACCATCATAGTCAATTATTGTAAATGGGTCAACTGACCTGTTTCATCCTCACCTATCATCCCTCGCCGGTGCCCCGCGTAAAGCGATAGTGTGGGCAGTACTATTCCATTATTATTCATTTAAAAAACCTGGTACCCAGATAATGCCAAATATTGTTAATTGTAAACAAACGCATACCTACCAGACGACCAGCCATTACAACCCGGATTGCCATGACCGAGTATTGGCAGTTTACTGCAATATCACACTTAATACAATAGACTGAGGTTTTTTTATAAAACAACAATAATATATTTGTCACTCGAACTTTGTTGCCGTAGGTTATCATTGGTTTGTGTTCGCACAATTAATTGTAGATAATTATACATAAATTTTTAAGCTTTTACATGACAAAAAACAACGAATTCGATAGTAAAATAAAAAAAAAAATATGTATAATTTTTACAATACAAAAAAACAAATGAAACACCGACTTCAAAAAACAAAACCTAACTGATTTTGTACCCTACCCTAGTTTGATAGTTAGTACCCTTGTTGCCCTATTTAGTACCCTAATTTGATTTACATATCAAACTAGAGAAGTGAATCGATTTTTATTTATTTATTTATTTACAAGAAACATGGGAAGTGTATAGATGTTAACAATAGGTAAAAGTCTACATATTTCGCCATAATTAGGCATGCAAAATTTAAAACTTAAAAAGATTAAATTCCTATTGGACTAATCTCAAAATATATTCTTTTAAATAAAAAAAGAGATTTTTTCAAATCAGTTTATATATGACGGAGTTCTATGGTAAAAACCACAAAAAATTAAAACCATATCACCTTTTATTTAATGGGTGATAATGGAATAGTAACTTGGTAAACCCGCCTGCGCTATCGGTATACGCTAGCGGGGCACCAGTGAGAGGTGATAGGTGAGGATGAAAGCAGGTCAGTTAGCCCATCATGACGAATTTCAATAGAATTAACCACGATGGTTTCCAGGGGGAACCGCGTGGAGGTCGACCTGATAGGGTGTATTGCTGGCAATGGGTCAGTTAGACCCTATTGCTAAAAACCTTGTTTCCTCCACCATATCATCTGATTTCTCGCAGGTTAGTAAGCCTCACTGGTATCAATAAAAAAAGCTCAGAGCAAATCCTACGATTCAATACTCACTAAGCTATATTTTATATAATATATTGTATAGCCCAAAACCTATTGCCGTGTGGTCCCGGCATAGAATAGGCCATCCCTTCCTTTCCCGTGGATGTCGTAAGAGGCAACTAAGGGAGGACGAGGGATGGGCAGCAGTGTCCCTCTTAAAACATCTCTACAGCCTGACTGCGGTTGCCAATCCGCCTTCCAAGTGTGGCAACTGCTGACAAACCCTCCCCCAAGGGGGAGGCTTATGTTCAGCAGTGGACAGTAAAGGCTGATATGACGATAAACTAAACTAAACGAAATTTTTGCTAACGTTAAAAATGTTGTTTTAATAGTTCAGCAGTCGTGTTTATTGACAGATTTTCTTCGACAGAAAATAATAACAATAACTGAATGTTACGTTAAAAATAATTAAAGACACAAATAAAAAAACTACTTAAATTGTGACAAAAGTAGTTATTTTGATTTAAAAAGTAAACAACTGAACTAATTTTGATAAAATTCCTATGGGACCAACCTGTAAGTATATCCTTTCAGATAAAAAAAATATTTTCCAAATCGGTTTAGAACTTACGTAGTTATGAGATGACAGGCTTAAAAAATACAATCGAATTGATAATCTCTTTCTTTTGAAGTCGGTTATAAACATTTTGACTTTCTTTCCCTTTCTTATAATCAATATATTGCGGTAACTACTTTATCTCGCACAAAGGGATGAAGAGGGTGGAGGCTAAAAAATAAAAATTTAAATGTACAATTTATTTAGATTATTAACAATTACAGTACATCAATAAATTAAAGTTTATATAAAATTTATTTCTTTCAATGTGCATATATTTTATTTATTTATTTTATATATATATATATATATATATATATATATGTATATAAATTAATTAGGAACATTTTTTTTTTCTTTTTATCAAATTTTTATTTATTGTTTAAAAATAATTTAAAAATATCAGTAATCAGTTAATACTACATAAAATACGAAAATTAAAAACAATGGAATAATAGGTATTGAGAAGAAGTTGCGTTGAATATATTTTTATAACCCTTTCAATGCTGTGACATATTTTAAAGTACAAATGACTATAAAAATTGCTTAGTAGTAATAAATTTGTCAACACAAGTGTTAAAATGTATAAATAGTTTAAAAACATTTATATAAATGCTCAATATGCAAATAATTAACTCTCTAAAAGTTATTGGTTGATGTAGGTATAAAATACCGATCCCGTTTTGGGATCGCGCAGCTTTCTTTTTTTTTTTTTAATAAAAAAGTAGCTTAATGGTGCAACGTTTGAGATGCTTGCCTTGCATCTTTGCTTTTAAACTTATCAATAACTTAAAGTTGTTAATTATTAATAAAAATTATTCAATTATATTAATTAATATTCTAAAAAATATACATGTGCCATTCAATTTCTTTACCTTCACTTGATTATGAGTACTGGTTGATACAAGGGCGGCACTCCTTTCCAAATTCAAACTAATGGAACGAATTCCCAATCTCACAAGCGTGATCGCCATCTTTAGCAACTAGAAATTATTAAATAAATGTCACTTAAACAAACAATTGTTCATATAGTTTCTACACGTAAACTCCCGCTTATTGAACTATAAACACCTGTGCATTTTACAAACGAACGAAAGAACCATTAAATGCAACGATACAACCACGACTGTTCGAATTTCGAAAGGCGGATCAGTTTTATTTGACAGCCCTTGTAGTGGGGAGTTGTTTTGAAGCGTTGGTGTTGTGTTTATGTTTTTATCTGTAACCAACATTGAGTGTTATCCAAATTTCGGCCTTCACGCTTTATGTTCTGTTTCATATTCATTAAATTTCGGTGGGATGCATTTAGGACAATATTAGAGCCACAGTCGATCGTGATAATCCGGCATGCGGGCATACACGTAGGCCCTGCAATAGACATTAGTTTGTCGTATTTAACTACTTATAATATTGCAATTTAGGTTAACGACGTGTCGAATGATTAAGTTGTTGTTATTGATAAAATTAGATTTAAGGTTTTCCTTGTTTATTTACAAAACAATTGTTACTTAGAACGTGTAATGTCTCACGTAGATACGAGCATATAGATTTATCTATTATTTAACTAATGGGTGATGTTGGCCGTTTTAAAATATCGCTTTTGTTGTTTCTATTAAGATTAAAGTTTTTTTTATCGTCATGTTAATAATGTTCTCTGTAGACATAGGTATTTGTTGTTTGTTTAAATAACGAATAGATAACCTACACTTGTTGAAATGATTATTAAAAAAAAACAAATAACAACATAATTATTTTTAACAAACTAATTAACTAATAAAACTTATTGTGGAACATTTAATAAATAAACAAAACAGGATCCGATTCGCCAATCGGCGAATATGTCGCACTTTACTATTCACTATTTTTAGTCCATTATCTTTGATGTCGCGTAACAAGAACTAAAGTTCCAAGTAAACTAGAAACAATAACAAAACAGCCGCTATCACCGACAGGGTTAAAGAATGTCAAATTTCTACCAGCAGAACTTAGATTGTATAGATAGAGCATCGGGTCTCAAAAACGGGTCAACTTTTTGTCAGCTAATTATCAAATTAGCTGATTCGTTTTTTTAACTAGTGTTCTATATAGGTACTTACGCATACAATGCATTTACGCATTAAAAAGATGCAAAAATTATAAGATAAAATAAATATAGAAGTTATAAAGGAATCATTCGTTACTATTATCAGGAAAAGTTTTATCCATTTTTTCTCGGAACATTCGTATGGAGACAGTCTTTCTATATAATTTAATTATTAATTATTTATGCAGCAGACATATTAAATTTCATCTGAAATCCTATCTTTAACACAGACTTTATGTACTTGTGAAAAAAATAGAAATTCTTGCTAAATACTATTTTCTACCGACTTCAAAAAAAGAAAGAGGCCGTTCCTATTTCGGTTGTATTTTTTATGTTTGTTCTCTCATAACTCCGTCAAATCTAAACCGAAAATCGGTTCAGTGGTTTAATTATTATATCAAAAGGTTTTGTCCCAATTAAAGACTGTTTTTTTGTAGGACACATTTTTTAATTTACCCAACCAGGACCTCCACGTGGTCAGTCAGGAAATCGTCGTGCTGAATTCCAGGTGTATTCACCACGATGGGCTAACTGACCTGCCTTTGTCAATGTCATTTATCATCCCACACTGATGCCCCGCCAGCGTATACTGGTAGCGCAGGCGGGGTTATACCAAATTTCATAGTGATTGGTTAATCACTATGCAATTTGATATGTTTGTAGCATAAGAGATGGAGAATAATATAAACTACTTTTTATCTCGGTCAGTAAATATTTTTTTAAATCGGTTGTATAGTTTTTGAGCTAATCCATTACAAACAAATAATCAATCATTATTAAACAATTAATAAATTTTTTCCTCTTTATAAGAGGAAAACCTTTATTAATTAATATATACGTTAAGGGGGAAAGGGATTGTTAGTAATGGAGACTGAGAATCCCATTGCTAGCATTATACCCAACCAGGTCGATCTCCTCGCGGTTCCCCCTGGAAACTATCATGGTTAATTCCTGATGAATTCATCATGATGGGCTAACTAACCTGTTTTCATTCTCATCTATCACCTTTCAATGGTGCTCCGTCAGCGTATTCCGTTAGCGCAGGCGGGGTTACCATTCCATATTCACCCTAAAAAAAAAATACGTCTACCCGTGTGAAGCCAGAACGGAGCACTAGTTTAATTTAGTCTTTGAAAACGCACATACACAATGTACGTTTTTTTTTTCTATATCAATATTATATTGTTTATTTAAGAGGACTTCCGGAACTAAATAGCCGGAATAATTTATCGAATTAAGAAGTCGGTATATTTTTATTAGTGTATTTTTATTATGTATTTTAATTTTGTATGTGTATTTTTATAAGTGCAATACTGCTGTATTTTTTTTTTCTTTTCTATAAAAAAGAGATTCTCAATACATCTTTATTTTTTTTTCGCAAGCACAGTACGTGATATCTTTATCAATCCTGAACCGATTTTAATAATTTATTTTTTACTCGATGGGGTATATTTCCAAATAATCCGATATTAAGTTTGTGAAGTCAAGTTTTTACTACTTAAAAATCCTGCTTTTTGCGAAGCAACATTAACTAAAGTAATTCTAAATACTTACTGAAAAGAGGGGAAAAGGGATGGTTAGTAACAGGCACTAGCAGCCTTCATTCCTAGGAGCAAAGCAAAGGGGGCAAACGAGCATGCGGCTCACCTGATGGTAACTGACTCAACACCGGATGAATAGGTGTGCTGCCAGTCTTTAAAAAAGGAATATGCTCTTTTCTTGAAGATTTTCTTACGATGTCGTATCGATGGGGCCTCGCGTATATCGAAAGCTGATCCTAGGATTACAATTCCGTTATCTCTTCTCACTTAAAAAAAAGTCTCTGCTTAAAATGTGAAAATTAAATTTATTACCATTTTAAACTAATAGTTCTACCACAGATAATATAATAGATTAGTGAATCAATCTTATCATACACGCTAACCGGTTACGGGTACTTTTAATTTGGCCCATCCTCTGCACGTCGCCTATTTGGTCGACATATCCGTCTAGATCGGCCCCAACCGGCCAATCGTCTCCAAATGGCCAACTAATAAATTAACAACACATTTAGTATATCACAGTGTTATTATAATGTATTTTTTTAATTCCTTATACTGTACCTATAAAATGCCAGGAATGAAATCAAGTATTCTTGTTTCTAGTAAACGCGTAAAGGTACCGAAGTATTGAGTGCAACTCTTACGTAACCACAACTAGTTCCTGTGTCAATGACCTCAAGCTGCAGGCGTTATGTAGGTACATAAGTACCACGGTGTATTTATTTTTGAACCGACTTCAAAAAAGACGTTCTTATTTCGATTGTATTGTTTATTTTTGTTACCTCTTAACTGCATTAGTTGCAAACCGATTTGAAAAGTTATTTTTAAATGATATATTTACAGTTTCCTATTTACAAATTTTATCATAAACGGTTCAGTAATTTGTAAATCAAAATAACCGGTTTTGTCATAATTAAAGTCGGCTTTTTTGTGAATTACCTACAATTTTAAATTATGTATCTACTTCGTCGTACATTCATTTTTTAATCAACCGTTAACTGTTAAACATAGATCTCCCCCTATTAGAGAGTTTACCTAGTAATTGCCACGCTTGGCAACCGCAGTTAGTCTTTGATGATGTTTTAAGGGGGACGCTAATGCCTATAGCTCGACCATTAAAATCGCTTAGTCATATCTTACGACACTCACAGGAAAGAAAGAGGTGGCCCATTCTATGTCGGAACTACACGCCTACATACTAATGTACGCGCATATACTGTGTTATCATAAAAATGCATTTCTTAATTTACGTGTATTTGCAACCGGCTTCAAAAAAGAATGCGGCTTCGATACGGTTGTATTTTTTTATGTTCTTTATGAAACAGAAATAGAAATTTCTCAAAATCATGGCAACTTAAGTAGGTTTTGCCATAGTTGATGTTAGTGTTTATTATGCAACAAAATGTTATTTTATCTTTTATGCCACGGAGGCGGCAAACAAGCATACGGCCCACCTGATAATAAGTAATTACCTATGCCATTTTGTGTCTTTACACAACCATCAGCATAATCAGTCTTTAACTATCCATTGCTGGGGGGGAAAGGAATTGTTAGTAATGAAGACAGAATCCCATTGCTAGCAATATAACCAACCAGGTCGACCTCCTCGCTGTTCCCCCTGGAAACTATCATGGTTAATTCGTGATGAATTCATCATGATGGGCTAACTGGCCTGTTTTCTTTCTCATCTATCACCCTTCACTGGTGCTCCGCCAGCGTATCCCGTTAGTGCAGGCGGGGTCACCATACCATTTTCACCCATCAAAAAAAAACTGTCCATTGCTAAACATAAGGTTTTGCTTTTTACACAATATTTTCGCTAATTCTCAATTTTTTTTTTCTGTTCAGTGTATAGTTTTAATTATTATTTCGGCCGTTAACTGTCCACTGCTGGACATAAGCCTTCTCCATAAAAGGAGTTCTGCCAGTAGTTGCCACGCTTGGCAGGCGGATTAGCAACCGCAGTTAGGCTTTGGAGATTTTTTTTTTTTTTATACAACTTAGAATGGCAAACAAGCTGACGGTCCACCTGATAGAAAGTGGTAACCGTCGCTTATAAACATGAGCAGTACCATGGACATAACAGAGTATACTGTTTCGCCCATGATACCCCCCATGCGTTGCCATTCCTGAGGACTCAGGTGTTATTCCTCTGTACCCAGTAAATTCACGCCATATCCCACCCTTCAAATTGTTGCTTATCCCTCGCCCTTCCTTAGCCGTTTTAAAGCATCCACGGCAGAGGAAGGGATGGCCTATTCTCACCGGGACCGCACGAAAGCTCACGGAATTGTGTTACTACTGTTTTATTATTACTGTTGTGGTGACCGAACTATCTGTGACAATTAACAGAGGGGAGGATCTTTGGAGGGCAACATGGAATTGGGATTTCCCAGATGGATATCCTCCTAGATCCAGGGGATAGTTAAAAGCTCCTGGGGTGAACACGAGACAATCCTGGGTTAGAACCATCCCCACCCCTCCGCCTGTTCCCTTCTCAAATATATCTATGCGGGGGGAAAAGGATTGTTAGCAATGGAGTTTGACAGCCCTATTGCTAGCAATATGCCTTATTAGGTCGACCTCCACGTGGTTCCCCCTGGAAACCATCGTGAACAATTCTTGTTGAATTTGTCACGATGGGCTAACTGACCTGCTTTATCCTCACCTATCATCCTTCACTGGTGCCCCGCCGGTGTATACCGATAGCGCGGGTGCGGTTACTATTCCATTATCATCCATTTAAAAAAAAAAGTCTATGCGTATGATAATGAAATAACGGTACACGGAGACATAACAGCATAGACGTCAGGTAGAGCAATGTATATATCAAAGGCGTACTTGCAATGGGCATCACTTCAAGTTTTAATAAAGAAAAATACATACATTATTTACATAAAATTTAATTAATGTAAAATTATAACAATCAATAAATAGGACAGTCTCTATAATTAAAAAAAAAAAAGAAAAAAAATGGGAATCCAGACCCTCTAGACAAGCGATAATCGAATATGTATATCGATAGATACGTTTTCGTTGGTGCATGCATGACATTTCAATTTCAATTTCATATAGCAAGACTTCTGATGTTGCTGCCTCGTTCTATCTCATAAATACGTTCGTTCGATCCGCTTGCCATTAGTTAGTGATGTGCCGAATTATGCCGATTAAAACATCTAAATGCTTGAATCGACCTAACTTATAGGTACTAGGGTACTCGAATACTCAATATAAAGAAATCGGATACACGGTACGCGAGTATAGGAATCGATTAGTTGTGGTTTTCAAATAATAATAATAAATAAATATTATTATTATTTTTCCTTCTTATTTAGAAAAAGTTTGATCCCTTTTGTCATTTAAACAACGTTAAAAATAAGCTTAAATATTCAAAATAAACTTATTCGAGCTTATTTAAGATTCTTTTTAACGAAAACCAAGATATCAAACGCCCGATTCGGCACATCATTCTAGAATCAGGGTTGGAATAGGTCCCATAGAACAAAATATACCTGTCCTATCATTTATAATATACAAGTTTACCGTTTGTAGTATACAAAAGGAAACCCCGTCACAATATTTATGAAACAGAACAACTTTCTTCAAACCGAAACAAAATAATGTATACTTTTTATTTCGTTTTATTTTCTGTTTTTTTTTCGGTTTTGATTTTTTGCGTGCTTTTGTTTTATTTTATTGTTTCCCTCTAGGGAGACTTCATTACCAATATATTAATTTAGATTTATTGTATATTTTGGAATGTAGTTTTAAAAAGCCAAACTGAACAGCTGATTAAGCTGGAATTCAGATTGGCATTAAATATAAATCATTTCAAACACGCGTTCAGTTCATTTATATACATACATTTCATTTTAAGTATGTCAAGAATGAAAGTTGTTTAATTTCATAAATATGATTGCTGGGGTTTATCCTTTTATACCCAATTCGTTACAGGCTCCATACACGGTCAAGCAGCGTGAGCCAAGCAGGTATGTATTGCCACTTGGAAAATAAACTGTGTAGTTTTTCTGTTCTAGAAGCAGCAATACAAATATATACTACTCATCTCAAACCACATGATGAACTATTGTATTGTCTAATAATCAAACAGGATCAATTATTAATCGATTGAGACCACAAATAATCTTTCTCCATCTACTTTCTCTCTGTACTTAACAATTATTTCGTCATAGTCGTAGAATACTGACGGATCCTTTATATGTAATATTTGTCAGATCCGTCAGTATTCTACGACTATAACGATTTATGCCAGATTGTCTGTAAGAGATTGCTTTTAGCGATAAGGCCTTTTGTATATGCACATTCTGTATAAATACTCCTTGTATACATCTCTATTTTGCGCAATAAAGAGAAATTATTATTACTATAGTAATAATAAATTAGTTGATTTAATAATAATGACGTTACTATTCAAGACTTAGATATGATAGTAAAATACAATTGATTATTAACAATTAATGGAATATATTCTTTTTTTTAAAACTTTTGTATATTTTTAACAATATTTACCTATTTGATTTATTATTATTTAGAATTATAATTGATATATAGCAAGCACTGAAAAGTTACTATTGATTAATCACCGATATTATTTGAAACTAGCTATTAATGGCGAAATATGAGGACTTATACTTATTGTAACATCGATACACTTACCATGTTTGTTGTAAATAAATAAATAAATGTAAATGATAGTATTGCTAGAATCATTATCATCATCAATTTATTAACTGGGTAAAACTTCAGATGCATGCTATCGATTCAATACATATTATTGGGGGGAAAGGGATTGTTAGTAATGGAGCTTGAGAATCCTATTGCTAGTAATATACCCAACCAGGTCGACCTCTTCGTGTTTCTCCCTGGAAACTATCATGGTTAATTCCTGATGAATTCATCATGATGGGCTAACTGGCCTGTTTACATTCTCATCTATCACCCTTCACTAGTGCTCCGCCAGCGTATCCCGTTAGCGCAGGCAGGGTTACCATATCATTTTCACCCATCATAAAAAAAACATATTATTAAATAAACTATTCGAAAGATTATTGTACGTGAATACAATCGATTTTTTGTTATAAGATTATCAGACAATACATGTTTATGGACCTCTTTACATTTGTTACAATAGTGTTAATCCTTATAATAAATGCCATATAATTTATTGTGCCTTCTTAAACTCGATCCTTTCGACCTTGACCTCGTCTCCCAGTAGTTTGTACACATATGTCACTACTGTCGAACTCTGAATGTCCATTAAAACGAAAGATGGCGTTGCTGTCCTGTAAACGTAGAACATCATTATTAATATTATGTGAGAGTGAATTTGTTTATTACCACTGAATTTTTTATCTGCCCAACAAATTGTAATGAACTTTGGCATATTGATATGGAGAAGAAACTAGACTACCCTTTATATCACTGAAAATAATACTTGCCACTCACTTAGACAAAGTTGCAGGTAATAATAAATAAATATTAATCAATTATTGTAGCCATTATAACGCTTAATAATAAAAACATATAATATATATACTACCAGAGGGAGACTTTGTACAAAAGTCGATTGCTTGGGTACCTCTGTCCCATTCGTGTTTCTATCGTGACCTCAGTCCTCAGGAATGGCAACGTATGGGGAGTATTATGGGCGAAACAGTATACTCTGTTATGTCCATGGTACTGCTCATGTCTATAGTTGGTGGTTACCACTTTCCATCAGGTGGACCATCAACTTGTTTACCATTCTAAGTTGTATAAAAAAAAACTAGTATAACATACTCATTTTTTTTCAATATTATAATTATAAAAATGTATATGTTTGTTTATTAATTAACTGGATAATATTTATTCTTATGATATGACTAAAACATGGTGCTATAATTGTTTTATATGTCCATTGCAAGAAGACTTATTAAAATGAGTTCAATATTAGTAAAAATACTAAGATACACACAAAATTACCACCAAGTTTGAGAACCTCTTTTTTAAAATTGGTTTTAAAATAGGCAGTATATTATAAGACACTGATGCCCTGTCGAGATTTTCCAAAGAGACTACAGCATGAAGTTCTTTAAAATAGGGTAGAGGTTTCTTCTGGATCAGCAATGAGAAAATAATGCCCCTGTATTGCAGGCATTCATAAACAGTGGTAATTGCTAACCATCAGGTGGGCCTGACATTTGCCATTAACAATGCCATAAAAAAAGACATACCTGTACAATGGGCTGTAGGCACCGGTCGCTGATCCTGGATTAATATAGAACTTATTTTCATGTTCGTAAGCTTCAAAACGGTGTGTGTGTCCTGATATCAATATATCCACGTCAAGTTGCCGCTGTACTAGTGCTAGGGACTCTTCATCGCCCCATGGTACCACCTGGTGGCCGTGGATCAGACCAATTCGAAACTGGCCAACTGTAATAACTTTTTGTTCTGGATATGTTGAGTTCTGAAAATTAAAATAATTTAAACTATTTTATTATTTCTACAAAAAAATCAAATATTAATCTACATTCCATACTAATTTCCTAAACATTGAAGGATATGCCAGCAAATGCTGTTGATTAAAAAAAGATTAATCATAATATTACTGAGAAAATAATAATCCTATTATTTTTTGTATTTTTTTTATGCAACTTAGAATGGCAAACAAGCCGCTCACCTACAGACATGAGCAGTACCATGGACATAACAGAGTATACTGTTTTGCCCAGGATACCTCCCTAATGTTGTCATTCCTGAGGAATCGAATGTTATTCCCACAAATTGTATTGACACAAATTCATTATTTATATAATTAAATGTTTGAAAAATGCAATAGCTGAGTTTCTTGTCTATTCTTGTTGGCTGAAATTGTATTCCAAATGGGAGGTAAAGAAAAATTACTATTAAAAAATGCTTAAATCTAAGTTTACTTGAATAAAAATATTTCTTATTATATTATTGTTATAATTTCATAAGTTTATTAAGATGGAAGGATAGATGTATGGCAAAAACTACTAAACAGATTTGAATAACATTTTATACACAGGTAGGTTATATCTCAATTTAGCATATAGAAAACTTTATGTACTGATTCACACAGGCCATGAGTTACAGCTAGTAATTATATACAGATTGCTACCATTTTCACTTTGTGATAATTGAAGCTAACATTTTTCTATGCAGATAAGAAACTGCTTATAAAATAAATTACATTTGTCATAATGCAATATTTACAATGTGGGTATCCACAAAACAATGTAAAAACACAAAACGGGAACAAAGTCTCCTTCTGGTAATACCCAGTAATTTCACTTTAATTTGATAATTTAACAATTATAAAGACGAAGGATAAATTGGGAATGGATAAATAAGTACTTATCCTTACAGATTGTAGATAATAGACATATGTGAGATAATGTGAAAGATGATATGCCTAAAGGGAAACATTTTGATCCATAGCGATATAAGGGTAAGTAAATGATGATATATATACTGCTATTTTTATTCTACATCAATCAATACTGGCTTGGATGGCTTTGCAAGGTGAGAGGACTAAATAAAACAGAGATACCATATCCAATTACTTTACACAAAAGAAAATGGGTATATTAATAGATATGAGAAAAAGTTAGTAAGACGTGCGAGAAAAACGACTTATAAAAAAAAAGTAAATAGAGACAACTAACCTCATCAAAATCGCCTCGTACGACATGCACATCACTAGCTAAGGTTTTTAAGTAGTCATACGACTCCTTAGTGCATAAATTACCGGTACATAGTATGTGCTGAATCCTTCCAGGCAATAATAGCTTCTTGAACTTAGGCGGCAGGCTACTACACCGATGTGGAATGTGTAAATCGCCTAGGACGAGTACCAACTGAAATATGCATTTCGCTTCCTTAGACTCATCGTTTGATTAAAAAATAATTCTTAAATATATATAAAAATAATTTTAATTTGGAACGAAATAAACTATTTTACTATGAGAAAAGGGCGTAAACACGGTCGTGACTGTAATTAATTTACTCACCATTGTGATTGTATTATTGCAACGATTAAGAATTTAAAAAGGAGAAATTATAAATTTACAGTAAATGTTGTTATCAACTGATACCGTAAATTCATTTATGCTTCTATTCGTAATTTCAAAAACGACAATTACAATTAATTTAATGTAAAATGTATATAAGCCAAGCAAAAGAAATCAAGCAAAAATGTCAATGTCACTGTCAGTCACATTTTAAAAAAAATTTTAGAGCCCAATTTGTCAATGTCAGCAGATAGTGTTATTTTAATTTCCTACTTATCAAACTATTTCTCTTCCATACCTGTAAAATTATCTACATATTACATATACAAGTATTCTAATACATGTATTAATACTCACTTATCTTTATTCTCATATTAAGAACATGACAGAATTTTAATAACATACCTATCTAACCACAGAGGAAGTAATCACTGCGTTCTATATCTAATCTAGATAATTTTATTAATATATGAAATGCATTTGTATATTATCCTCGTATTTTAAAGAATATATATGTTTTTTTATTTAAAAATACTACATTCCCTTTTTGGTAATATTTGGAATAGTAAAATGCGTAAAACGAAACATGGGAAATTAAAAAATATGTTTGAATAATTTATGATTTTATATTGCCATTTAAACATCATTCCTCTATAAAATTGTTAAAATATATTAATTGATGTTTTATTTTTCAGTTGAGTACAATATTTATAATAAAATTAATAATTTAATTTACTACACTATAAGTTAGGAATATATTCTTTAATGTATATTTTACAACTCTCTTTTATAAAATATGTAAAAGTACAATATTTAACCTAACTTCATATATCGATATCAAAATTACGTAATTTAATTTAATGTAATAAACAAATATAATGTCAAATTGCATATCTATTTTAATCTATTTCTGTGACAGCTAAAATATGATATTATTTCAGGTAATTTAATAGTATAATTATGGTAACACTTTACTATACTTTTTCTTCTATTCTCTTTGGTTGTGGTCCGTAAAGAAAAGAAAAATTTCATGGTGTTGTGGGTGACACATATACGTAGGAAAAAATAGTGTAAGATAATCACATTGGCACCAACTGCAGGGAAATGGAATCAATGGAATATGAGCTTGCCAGAAACCTCACTCTGTTGTTTTTCGTGGAACGCCTGCTCGACAAAGGCGAGCCGCGTACGTTGCACGATCTTTCCTGCCAGTTTGGTGCCAAGGGGTTCACTAAGGAGATGCGGCAGATCGCTGGCGGGTCGCAGTCGGGACTGAAGAAGTTCCTGGCCCAGTACCCGGCGTTGTTCAACATAGACGGGGACTATGTTGATATCAACACATTCCAGAAGCATCAAAGTGGGGCTGGCGCATCGTCCAATAACGACTATATCGAGGAGGCGAAGGAATACTTCGCGAGCAAGATGGTGCAATATGGCGAAGGTACAGAGGTGCCAATCAAGAGTCTTCTCGGGCACCGCAGCCAGGCATCGCCGCAGGTGCGCCATATTTCGGGACAGCGCATCAAGGAGTTCAAAGAGTTCCTCATGAAGCATCCCGACACATTCCAAATCACCGAAGACAACGTCGTTCTAGTCAGTGAGAACCACAGGAGAGGTAACACACATAGTAATTCTGAGCAGTTTCACAATTTACCTGTTGCCAATATAAATACAGATACTGCCCAACAGTTGTTAGACTATGTCGCTCAATGTATAGAGGCCAAGGGACCTGTAATGGTCGATCAACTGTTTCATTTAATTGTATCACGCTTCCCACAAGAATACTGGTATCAGATGTTCAAGTCTCCAGCTGACTTAAGCGCTTTTCTAAAGCTATTTTCTGATAGCTTCCATGTCCAATCAAATCTTGTCACATTAATTAGTAAACCAAAAATTCCAGTAATGTATCTAAATGCAAAATCCAAAGCAAAGACTGATGCACCAAAGCCTGTGGTTGATGAGAAACCTGCATCACCAGCTCCGCCTATTGTAGTGAGCCCTACACCTTCAGATGGTCATAAAAGCCCAGCCAATAGAATACTCAGTCCTGTAGAATCTCCCCGTGGTCCTCAAGCAAATATAGCAAATCAAACGCTTAAGCAGAGGATTAATTCTATTGTCATTAAAAACTTAGCAGAGAACATGGTTAGAGATAGAGTGAACAATCACTTGAACGCTCGCAGTTCAGAAGAAATGAATGGCACACCAAGCCTACGCAACAATCTAATGGGAGATGCATGGCGCCAAAAAGTTCTTCAGTGCACAACTGTCATAGCTAATGTTAGAGAGTGTTCTACACTAATTGATAGTATTATGAATCCAAAACGAAATTCAAAGAATATTGTTTCCTTTGACTGTGAAGGAATAAATCTTGGCTTGAAAGGAATTCTGACTCTGTGTCAAATTGCTACCATGAATGGTGAAGTGTACATATTAGACATCATGGCTTGTCCTGGTATGGTTATAGAAGGCAAAATCAAGGACTTATTAGAGAGTGAAAATGTAGTTAAAATCATACATGACTGTAGAAATGACTCAGTTAATTTACATAATCAATTTGAGATCACTTTAAAGAATGTTTTTGATACTCAAGCTGCTCATGCTGTGTTGCAATTACAGCAGCAAGGTGTACCTGTTTATAAAGTTAAAAATCTGAGTCTCAATGCCATGTGTGAATTATATAATGCTCCGATGAACCCGATGAAGGAGCAGTTGAAAAATGTATATCGCAGAGACCAGCGTTATTGGGCACGGAGGCCATTAACAAAGGATATGATTATTTATGCAGCTTCAGATGTTCTTTCCTTAGTCAATCCTGCAATATATGCATATATGTCGAGCAATATTAAGCCAGATAATCAACAGTTATTTGAGGAATTAAGTAATGAACAAGTATTTATGCATATTCAACCAACAGAGGTGAAATTACGTAAGAGACAAAGAAAAATCAATACAGAAGTGGGAGAACTAAAACAAAAATTGGCAGAAACAACTAAAAATATAGTCTTAAGTAACAGAGAAATAAGATTGTTGAGATATTTGGAACTTACAGAGGAAGAAAAAGAAAAACTAAAAGGTTGTCACAAAATATCTAAAAAATTAGAAAAATTGGAGGCAATAGGGCAAGACAAAGATTCAGATTCTGATGATGATGAGAGAGAAAATGAGATGGCCAGTTTAGAATCTAATCCTTCAGATCCAATTTCGTCTCCACACTCAACACAACCTCCAAGCCTCACTGAGTCAATGCAGATGATGGATGAAATATTGTCAGACACTAACATGGATAAAGTTGAAAAAATAAATCGTCTTGAAGCAATTCTATCTGCTGTGGCGCCGCTCAGTGGAGAATTGGAGGACAAATTCTCACAAACTATGGAACAAACACTGCCATTGCTCAAAAACAAAGATTGGTCCAATCTCAGTCAAATTTTGAACATGGGTGATGCTGACAGAAAGAATTGTAGTTGCAGATGCCATAATACCAATTTTGAAGATGTTAAGTGCAATGATCTCAATGAAACCAAGAAGTCGGAGGTTGGATCACAGACCCTCAGTACAGGGGATATAGTGATTACAAGGATCCATTTCAGGGAAGAGGATAAAGCAAACGAAAGGGTCCTGGACGCGACCCCCGCTAGTAAAAGGGTCGGGATAAACAACATGTCTTGATGATGCTCAGGTTTATAATACTTCCATTTTTCTGAGTGCCACAGTTTAGTTTCGGGACTCTTGCTGTACGTGATTATTTCTTTGTGCTAGTTTTAAGTAAAAAAAAAAAATTTAAACCCCTGTTGTAATTAATACAACGCATGATCTAGTTGTCAGGGGTGCTACAGCAGCGAGATTGCTCGAGAATCGAGCATAATTAATTATGCTGTGAGGTCGTGCATCGCCGGTGTGGAATACGCCCACGTTATATGTTCATTTGAGCGGAGATGAGCGTATACACTCGAATAAATACAACAGTAATTCGCATAATACAACGGCTACTTAATTCCATTCGTCTGGAATGTACAGTACGCGCTGTTACATATTTTAATTTAATTAAATTATTACGTTGGCTATTGCCTGTTAAGTATTCAACTTAATGTGATAGATTTCAAGGCCTTTTTTCTCGATCTTGTATGAATTGTAAATAGGTACATAAGATAAAATCCGATTAGCGTGCATAATCCTCACATCTCGAATCGCTATAACGACGGTCGAGTGTTTTCTGATGTAATTGATAAAAATTTGTATATACCTATCTACCATTTACTAAAAATATTCACTATATCTAAGTGTCTCTGGCAGCCTAGTCGTAGCTGCTTTTTTTTTTTATAAAAATGGCAATAATAGACGTATACATACAATAAAGTTTTATTGTAACATATTTATTATTAATTATCGTATAGATGTACTCTTAGTATTAAATAATGTTTTTAAAAACAATATTAAAAATGGTATGGGTTTAGAATTATTGATGGAAGTTTTATATTGTAGGTAGCGGCAAATGGTGCTTGAATAGATTCGTTTCGATCGTTCGTAATGTGAATCGTTCGCATTATATTAGTCAGGTATTTGCAGTGAATTTTGTGTAATTGTATGACTGGAGGTTTGACTAATTTTTCCTTTAGAGATTTTGTGCCTTCAAGTCATATCCGACGAATGCCTTAATTGAAATGTGAATCAGTAGATACTTTTTATACGTATTTGTAGCATATTCACGGGGATTAGATACGATCAATATTATTTATGGGTCACACTGCATATCTTGTTTCGTATGGTCGTAGCGAGACATTTTTATAGAAATTAGATGGAACAATTTACATTTTATAACGTGACACATTGTCAATTATTTATTAAGAAAGCGTTTGTTATATGTCAAAATTGTTCACATAGTTTAATTTCTTTACAATTTTTAATCTTACTACTTTGTTAATAGCTTCATATAGATATTACTTCTAAGCCTGTTAAAAACATTCAAATAGTTTATTATTATGTTGTTAAAACAGTACGAAATGTTTAAACTAAGTGATATTATGCTTATTGCTTATCTCGTAGAAAGCGGCTGCTTTGATTTTATTATTCCATGTATTATTCATCAGTATTGAATCCAAACCACTAGTAAATGCATGAAACAAATTGCATTTACATTAGTACCTACTTACACTTAAATGCAGTACTGTTCTTTTTTAAAAAAAATCTAAAATCAAATATTACTATCGCCTGAGATTATGATAGTTATCATAATAAAATGTTTGGTTGTTTATATTTTTTGTCTATGATATTTATTTTAAATTATTTCTTTTTTTTTATTGTCTAGCATGCCTATATTTTGTGCCTTAATCACTGCACAATTTAAAAGTAAGTTTTTACATACATTTTTGTATCGTGAGACGACATAAGTTTTTCAGTGCCACTATATTTTTTTTTTCTAATTAGATATTGTTAAGGAAGCATTTTTGTTAGTCAGTATAAGGCATAATAACCACTTTGTTATTTATGTACATTTTTCTAACAGATGTTTAGAAGTTTATTTACTTGTCTAATTACCAGAGTCTGCTTGCGACAAAGTCTAACTTGTAATGTGGCAAATATTAGTTTACTAATTTGCGCATTGTTTATGTTTATTTTAAATAAAAAGTTGTAATAAAATAATTGTTTTATTTGTTCATTGTATAAATAATAACAAATCCAATAGGGTCACAATTTAAGATTTTGTTCAAACTCCCTTCCCACATACAAGAGAGCCCCTAAATTACCTCTTTCAAGAAAAGGTTAAAGTTACATTTTCTTTCGTTCGAGTCATAATCCTAATTTTTCATTTTTATAATTGAACTGTCAAACCTTAAAATCATTGAACTAAATTTCTATTGTAGGTAGTATATTCATTTATTTTAACATCCATTGTATAAGTAGGTAGATATTATGTTTATTTATAGTATATGTATTTATGTAATATTTTATTAAGTATATATTTTTTATATTTTATCTTAATATTTTATTTAACTGTATATTTGTTTATGTACACTAAATATTAATAGTTGTGGCGCTTCAGCTATCCGCTAACAACATGTTTTCTAACTGCATTGGGTTGACTGGAAGAGATGTCTCTCAGAGATAAGTCCACCGTTGCTCACAATATTTATAAATGCATTAATAATGTAATTTACAAGTGCAATAAAAAATATATAAAAATTATGAAAATCCTACAGCAAAATAAAATTAACAAAATTAGCTCGGAGACGTCGATATCGCAGAAAATACCTAATTACGCACAAAAAGTGGCTAATGAATCTTCACTGTTAGATAATCTAGTTATTAAAAATTTACTGAAATTCTTACTTAGGTATTACTAATTTATTTATTTATTTATTCATTAGTACAAATATGTGTACATGGCGGACTTAATGCTAAAAGCATTCTCTCCCAGTCAACTAATGTATAATTAACTAAATAAACTAACTGTACCGTAAAGATGGGGTATAATGTAACCTCTATAGTTCGGGGGTAAAGAGATTGTTAAAAGTAGGGTCTAATAGTCCTATTGCTAGCAATATACACCACGTGGGCAGACTACACGCGCACTTACCCCTTCATTTTCGCCTATTAAAAAAATCTTTATAGGTTATAGTAACCGCTACCATCGGGTCGGGGTAAAAGGAATTATTAATAATGGGGTCAAATAGCCCCATTACTAGCAATACACCCTATCAGGTCGACCTCCACGTGGTTCCCCCTGGAAACCACTGCGTTTAATTCTAGTTGAATCCATCAGGATAGACTAACTGACCCGTTTTCATCCTCATCTGTCATCTCTCACTGGTACCCCGCCAGTGTATACTGATAGCGCAGGCGGAGTTACCATACCATTTATAAAACCATCAGGTGGACCGTATGCATATAATTCACAAAAAGAGATATCTCGACAAGGATTAAGTAAATAAAGAAACAAAAAATAAAAAATGTGAAAGTGCCTAAGTCGGTGTGATGGAGGCACTTGGCGTACTAATTAAGATTTTATATGTAAATATTAGAATGAAAATATGGTCTAAACTTGCGCAATGAGTCTGTATCACAAATTCAATGTCGCCTTGCATACCAATGTCACATACTAGTTACCGTCAACCTACCCACGATTTTTTTTTTATGGGTGATAATGGAATGGTAACCCTACCCGCGCTATTGGTATACACCGGCGGGGCACCAGTGAAGGATGATAGGTGAAGATGAAGCAGGTCAGTTAGCCCATCGTGACGAATTCAACAAGAATTGTTCACGATGGTTTCCAGAGGGAGCCACGTGGAGGTCGACCTGATAGGGCATATTGCTAGCAATGGGGCTGTCAAACTCCATTGCTAACAACCCCTTTCCCCCCAACCTACCCACGATTATTAAGTATATAATTGTAATAATTTGGAGGTACATAATGTATAAGATATACACTGACGGGATACCAATGAAAGGTGATTGTTGAGAATAAAAAGGCAGGTCAGTTAGCCCATCGTGACGAATTCAACGACAAATAAGTCACGATAGTTTCCAGGGGAAACCGCATCGTGATAGATATTTCAATGATAAATTAACAATCCCTTCCACCCCGTTTTTTAATGATGATAATGGAATGGCACCAGTAAGGAATGAATGATGAGGACAAAAAGGCAGATCAGTTCGGCCATTGTGACGAATTTAACGACAAATTAGTCACGATAGTTTCCAGGGGGAACCGCGTGGAGGTCTACCTGATACGGTATATTGTTAGCAATGGAAACTAACCTCCTCATTACTAACAATCCCTTCCCCCCAATGGTTGTGGGTTAGTCTGGATGTTTTATAAATAATAATGTAGACCTATTGAGAAAGGATTGTTAAAAATGGTGACTAAGGGCTCTATTGCTAGGAAAATACCAAACCAGGTCGACCCCCCCGTGATCTCCCCTGAACACAATCGTGCTAAATTCCAAATGTATCTATCATGATGGACTAACTAAAACTGCCTTTTTTCATTCTCACCTATCATCCCTAATCGGTGATCGGTGTCCCGCCAGCGTATACTGTTAGCGTAGATGGGGTTACCATTCCATTATCATACATTAAAACAATACAGACATATAGGGGGGAAAGGGATTGTTAGTAATGGAGACTGAGAATCCCATTGCTAGCAATATACCCAACCAGGTCGACCTCCTCGTGGTTCCCCCTGGAAACTATCATGGTTAATTCCTAATGAATTCATCATGATGGGCTAACTGGCCTGTTTTCATTCTCATCGATCACCCTTCACTGGTGCTCCGCCAGCGTATTCCGTTAGCGCAGGCGGGGTTACCATACCATTTTCACCCACCAAAAAAAAAAAAAAAATACAGACCTATAGACGTATTTAAAAAAATGTAGATAATTAAATATTTCTAGAAATTCTACTGTCCAAAGTACAACGTCTCCTTTATTTGACACTAGATGGCGTTGTACAATGTGTACAAGCTATATATTTTATTATCTCACCTTCTCATGTACCAAGTAGTTTAGTTTTCTGTTCCCCTTAAAAGATGAAGAAAGAAAGAAAGAATTGATGTAGCGAAATTTCGATCAAGACTAAGTGTCAACAAAACGATAATGACACTTTTGGTGTTGCAAGTTTTAATGAACGGCGGTAACGCTTACAATCAAACGCACCAATGGGAGGAATTATATATTTAACCAGATAAATTTCCACGCGGTCTCTCTTAGAAACTATCGTGGTTAATTCCTGATGAATTCGTCATGATGAGCTAACTGACTGACCTGTTTTCATTCTCATCTATCACCCTTCACTGGTGCCCCGTTAGCATATTCCGTCAACAGAGGCTAGGACGTCATTTCATTTAACTAGATATATTGATAGCAATGAGTATTTATTATCGTATTAACAAAAACAAAATTAAAATGAATCAAAGAACTATCTTACAAATCATTTACGGGTCGAGCTAAATAAAACCGTTTAAAAAAATATAAATGTCTACAACAGAACGGTTGACACTGACAGCTGACATATCATTGCTGACAAGTGTGTCAGCTTCAGACTGTCATGTAGTAACTGACATGTGAATTCAAAATTTAAAATATTGTTCGCTAGATACTTGTATATTATTATTTTTTATTTATTAATTAACCAACTCAAATTAATGTAAAATGGAGGATTTTGATGTGTTTACGGACGAAATAGAATTTACGAAACCGTTGTATAAGAATATACTTAATAAGTATGTTTACGAGATACCCTTATATCTAAGTGGAGCGAATTACCAAAGTGAGTTTGTTTTCATTTATTTGTTTGAAAGAAATTTATACAAAAATTTTATAATTTAAATTGAACAAAAAAAGCCGTGGCTTCTTAAGGGTAGATAGAATGATAAATTAATATTGTATATCAGTTTTAATAAATAAAAGAAGGTAAGATAGAAGAAAGGAGGAACAGAGGGAGACCAAGGCATAATTACATCAGGCAGATCAAGGAAGGAATTGGTGTCGTGTCGTATCAAGAGGTGAAGAGACTCGCTGAAAATCGTAGTGAGTGGTAAGAGCTCCACTGACAAGAGCGCAGCTCTTAAATAGGATAGAGATCAGTTTTAATAGACAAATTTTTATTACTTTGTTTTACAGTATTGTGATTTTCGTAGGGACCGATATTTTTTTTAAACAGTACATTACCTATGTTACTTGCTGATAATCTAGCTTTCTTTAGGCGAAAAACTTTTTGAAATTGATTGAGTAGTGTTGAGTTTATCCATTACAAACAAAAATCCAATAAAAAGAAATCTTTGGAGGACTGGCATAGCTACTGATGGTTAAACTGGAGACCTATTAGAAACCATGTCAGCATCATGGAAGTAGTCTGAAATTCTCCTAAGTATATCATCATAGTCTTAGAGTACTGACGGATCTGACAAAGATTACATATAAAGATCCATCAGTATTCTACGACTATGACAATATGTGTGTTGAAAAATATGGATTTCCATGCTAACATGTTGTATTCATCAGACAAGTGATCAGTATATAATATTCAACATTTTTGTATTTCTTTTTGTTGTTCATTTGTCCATGTTTCTTTATAAATTGAAATATGTTCACTTTTACAAAATAAGATCCAAGTGATCTAAAATCTTTTTAAAGGTACAAATGCTGTTTATTACATCCTATATATTTGTGTTCAGTGTACTTACCAAATTGTTAAAAATAAATTTGAAAGAGATTTAGGGACAAAGTTTTACATTTCCTTCATATTTTAGGCGGTAGAAAACTTTTGGCTGAAGAATATTTAGAGGCGAATGATGAGACAAGCTGTGCATTCCACTTGAGCGAGTCTGTGTCTGCTTCACTGAGAATCATGGCTGTTTATAGAGACGAGCAGTTGAAAGCCGCTGGTAATAATAATGTACTTGATTTGGCTAATAATTTAAGTAACTTGTATGCGCTTTTACAAATACTGTTATATATTTAATTCTAAATCTATAAATATATAATTAAAATTAATTTTTGTCTGAAAAAGCGACAGTTGATTCCATGATCTCTTTCCTGTCAATTGTATTTCAAATAATATTTAAATAAGTATTCTAAATAAGCAGTAGAATAATTTAAAATGACTATTTAAAAATGTTTATAATTTACTTTAATAAAAATTATATTTATCTATTTTCTAATATTTATATAATTTATAATAATAATTTTTTATTAATTTTGTTTTACTTATAATGTCTGACAGACCCAGCTTGGCAAAGACCTCCCTGCTGCTTTATTTTTTTCTACTATCTCACCATAATTTTTGTGATAGCTTTGCTAATTTGAAACCAATTTTGATAATTATTAGGTTTACTCCTCCTGGTTCTATTTTAATTTTGTCATGATTAAAGTTACTAATTATTTCAAATTACATATTCAATAAATTATTTCATTTTTATACAACCTTTTGCCAATAATTTGATATGAATTTTGAAAATAGGTAACCACTTCTAGATAATGCATCAAAACAAAACATACACCAGATTTTAAATTACATATGAAAAGATTATCAGTATCATCATCATCATCATCATCATCATATCAGCCGTTAACTGTCCACTGCTGAACATAACCCTCCCCCATAAAGGAGAGTTTTGCTAGTAGTTGCCACACTTGGTAGCAACAACAGTTAGGCTTTTATTGTTTTAAGAGGGACGCTGCTGCCCATCCCTCGACCTTTAAGTTCCCTTAGTCACCTCTTAGGTCACATATGGAAAAGAACAATAGCTCTTTTTAAAACCCCTAATGTTTTTTTTTTTTAAACATCTATGTACAGACATGACATGTGTAGTTACAATTTTATTATATGTAAAGATTATCAGTATGTATTTGTGTTGTATTGTAAATTTATTGTATTTATTGTACATAATTTACATTGGACACATTAAATAGATTTAATATACAATGGCAGACATATGGCAGAGCTCACTCTCACACCCTACAGCCTAAATGGTCGCGTACAACTCGGTTTCAGGGATGTTTTCTCCCACGAGCGCTCAGGTTGTGGAATGAAATCCCTGCCGAGGTTTTCCCAAGAGACTACAGCATGGGATTCTTCAAAAGGGGGGTAAAGAGGTTTCTTCAGGGTCGGCAATGCGCGCGTAATACCTCTAGTATGTTATTGTAGGCGTTCATAGGCTACGGTAATCACTTTCCATCAGGTGGGCCTTATGCTTGTTTGCCACCTCAGTAGTATAAAAAAAAGACATATCCCATAGAGAGATCTCCTGTAACATATATATAACTGTATATTGCAATGTGTAGAGTCTAAACAAAGAGTCTTATTGGTCAATAAATTGATGCTGTATGTACAAGTCGTGTCGCCACATAAATTACAGCAACCATTGTTTCATGTTTTCAGGTAATAAACTTCATAGGATCACATCCCATATCAAGCCCGTAAAAGATTTGATTGACTCAAATCCAATGTAAGTAGATCCGTTACTTGCCCTTTATCCGTAACTTCGTGAGACTGATATATGTTCGCCAAAATAACAAAACTTGTTTATTTTGCGTTCTTAGAAAGACTATACCTTATATATATTAGTATAGTTATAGTGAATTTCCTATTATGGGTTGTATGTACCTTCATCGTTTTATCCTCCATTAGACACACACACACACACACACACACGCACACGCACACCCACGCACACGCACACCCACGCATACACACACACCCACGCACACACACATACACACACACACAGAGAGAGAGAAAGAGAGAGACATACGTACAACCCGCCATAAACTAAAGTTTCATCCCAACAATCTGGACGAGTGGCGATCTTCCACCGTGCGTTTTTCAAGGCACTTTCTTCCACGCACAACCATTCTTTGGAATCAACTTCCAGCAGCAGTATTTCCGAACCGATACGAAAAAATAACCTTCAAGAAAAGAGCATATTCCTTTTTAAAAGACCGGCAGCACACCTGCAATGCCGTTGGTGTTGTGGGTAATCATGGGCGGCGGTAGTCACTTACCATCAGGTGAGCCGCATGCTCGTTTGCCTCCTGTGTTGTAAAAAAAAGAGACATCATACCATCTTAGACCTAGAACAAATTTTAGTGAAAACATTGAAATTGTAAATCACTTCATTTTAGGTGTAAAGAGGACGAGAAACTATTTGATTTCATATCAACTGACGCAGCAGAGATAACGAAAACATTGGAATCGGCAAAAATTGAAGAGGACCCTCTGCATAAGAGATATATGAGGTTCAGCTCAGAAAATAATGTGGACAACTTTAGGAAAATATTAAATGAATTGCCAAAAGGTAATATTTTGTTTTTAATAGACGATAATGGAATGGTTGCGCCTGCGCTATCGGTATACACTGGCAAGGTACCAGTGAGGCATGATAGGTGAGGATGAAGGAGGTCAGTTGGCCCATCGTGACGAATTCAACGATAAATCAATCACGATAGACCTTGTCTCATTTTTTAATGGATGAAAATAGCAATGGGATTGTAGCCCCGCCTGCGTTCATTTAAAAAAAAAAAAATCTGTAGTATAGTACTTCTATGGAATAGCAAAGCATTAAGAGTAACAAGGACATCATACTTTTTTCTTTTGCTAACCGACTTCTAAAAGAAGGAGGTTCGGTTGTGTATTTTTTATTGATACAGTCGATAAGATGTTAACGACACTTATTTGCAATCTTTGAGGAAACGTTTGTTAGATTATAATTCTTCTAGGTCAATTGTGAACCAATTTGGAAAATTTCTTTTTTTGTCTCAAAGGATACAATTACAGATTAATCCCATAGAAATTTTATCAAAATCGATTTAGTGTTTTAGCTTTTAAATCCAAATAACTGGGTTTTGTCACAATTGAAGTCGGTTTTTTATGGAACGAGATCTTAAATTATATTAAAAACAAAATAAAAGTAAAAAAGTGAAATAAAAGAAACAGTAAAAGAAAAATACAACGATTTCAATATACTTCCTTTTCAGAATGGACCGTGGTCCAGTTGACAGCACCGTACAATCCCAACGAGAATTTAAAACCGATGAACGAATTCAGAACAGAAATATATTCTATATATTTGACAGTATTCACTAATGACTATTTAAGTGAAACTGGACCGTTCACTGTCAATATTCCCGCCAATTTAAACAAAGGTGAGTAAATTTATATTTATTTACTAGCTGACCCCGTAAACGTTGTTTTACCACTTATTACGAAATATAAAAATCGCAATTAAAATACAGGGGTTGATTGTAAAACGATGAAAATTTAAAGTTGTGTGTATTTTTCAATGCTAAATCATATTTAAAACACAATTAAAAATTTTGTCAAAAAAATATTAAAAAAAATTTTAGGTGTGGGTCACCCTTATCATTGGTATAAAAAATAGATGTTGGCCGATTCTCAGACCTACTCAATATGCACACAAAATTTCATGAAAATCGGTAAAGCCGTTTCGGAGGAATTTGGTAACAAACACCGTGACACGAGATTTTATATATTAGATTTAGTATACCAACATATGTTGCAGTTTTAATACTGGCTGTTGACACTGAGGTCTTTTAGAACAATGTATTATTTTTAAGTTGGTTCTATGTCAGATTTTTATAAGACATGTCTCGTATTTTTTTCACTAAACTTATTATTTTATATCTCAAATACATGTGTTTTATTACTGCATCCTGCTATTTACAACAACATAATATACAGCGAAACATTTCGATACATTACACTAGTGGATTACGGCTAACTGTTCTTACATTTAGATGCAACCACAGCATGCTTTGTGTTTAAAAAAATATGGGAATTAATGTTTTATAAGAGATAGAAATTAAAGCGATCATTTAGGTAAACAATTTGCAAATAAAATGCTGTGTGGTCCTGATATAGAATAAGTTACCCCTTCGTTTCACGTGGGTGTCGTAATAGGCTACTAAAGGATGACGAGGGTTGAGCAGCAGTATTTTTATTTATTTATTTATTTATTCATTAGTACAAATATGTGTACATGACTGGACTTAATGCTAAAAGCATTCTCTCCCAGTCAACCATAGGGAAGTGATCAGAATGAGGATGAAAATGCGGTACTACTAATTATTGATATACATACATAATAAAATTACATATATAAACGAATAAATATATATGAATAACAAATATACTTACACATATATGATATATACTATATTATACACGAAATTAAGAATAATATAAAGCACTTACGGCTCGGATAAAGTAAACAAGTGAGCGTGAACGTTTTTTTTGAAAGACGGTTTAGTCGGTAAGTCTTTTAATGGCATCAGGATCTTTAAACGTGTCCAAAGCCTAACTGCGGTTGCCAATCCTCCTGCCAAGCGTGGCAACTACTGGCAAAGCCCTCCCAAGGGGGAGGCTTATGTTCAGCAGTGGATTAATATATAAAAACAAATAATTGTCTTCCCAAGAAGGCTACTTGTTTTTAGTCAATCAAAATATCTCGATCACGCTGACGAAATCGCGAGTAAAGACTAGTTTAGAAATAATAGTTACTTAATTGACGATTTTTTTTAGAAGGCGAAAAACCATTATTTACGGAGTTATATTCCTTATTGGACGAGAATTATGAAACAATATCGAACGCGCAGTTTCTGAACAACAAACGGTTGGTGCAAAACTATTGGAGCAGGAGGGAAGACATCGATTTGAGGATGAAGGTGGGCAATTAAGTCATTAAGTGAACAATTTAGTGAACTATTTAAATGAACAATTTAAGTAAACAATTAAAGTTAACCTTTCTTTACATGATTTTTTTATTGGTGAAATAAATCAAGGTGATATAATTCATGTTCAAAAATAAAGGAAAAATGTTTAAAAAAATAAATTTGACAGCTATGGTTTTTTTTCTGCAATGGACATTAAAAAATTATCCAGACACGATCGACTTAAAGCGAACTTGTTCTTTTATATATTTTTTGGGCATTCAATGTTATGATGGAAATTTCCACCAGTATGCAAAGAATTGTTAAAAATTGAAGTAAACAATTTAAGAAGATATTTCATAAAAAAAATTCGACTTCGTGTCTTCATGACTTCAAGCCTATTATTTTTATTTAAAAACTAAACTACCGAATTGATTTTAATACAATTTCTATGGAATCTAAACCTGACCTGAAACCTGGGGAATTTTTTTTTGTATATATTTTAATAAAATACAGTTAACATATGCTGTATTTTATAAAAAAAAAATATATATATATATACGACGCGGAGGCGCGTTCCTAATTAGTATTAATTTTATCATAAATTTCTCTTTTTTATTTTATTTGTAGAGCAAGATTTAGTTGTTGACAGTTAATCTTAGTTAATACTAAACTTTACCCGCGACTTTGTTTTCGTGGTCTTGATAAGTTTACTGACCGGGATAAAAAATAACCTATATCCTTCTCCATCCCATAAATTATGTGCTTATCAAATTTCATAGTGTTTGGTTAAGCCGTTAAGGCGCTATAAGGTTACGAATAAACAAACCCACTTTCACGACTTGGGGGGAAAGGGATTGTTAGCAATGGAGTTTGAAAGCCACATTGCTAGCAATATGCCTTATTAGGTCGAACTCCACGTGGTTTCCCCTGGAAACCATCGTGAACAATTGTTGAATTCGTCACGATGGGCTAACTGACCTGCTTCATCCTCACCTATCATCCTTCACTAGTGCCCCGCCGGTGTATACCGATAGTGCAGGTGGGATTACCATTCCATTATCATCCATTTAATGAAAAAAAAACCACTTTCACATTTATAATATTAGTAAACTTTATTTCCAGAGTGTAATAAATGTAATGGAGAAAGAATGGCTCGGTGGATGGGGCAGCCTGTTGACTGGGAAACTGGTGGAGGTCGGCCTTAAGGAGAGGATTGTTAAATTGGTGGACACTACTATATCAGATTGGGGGTAAGTATTAGAAAAAAGCATTCCCTATTCAACTAAAAAAAAGTTCTTCAATAAGGTTGTATTAAGGTTTCTTCAGGGTCGACAACGCACACGTGACACCCCTAGTGTTGCAGGCGTTCATAGGCTACAGTGACCGTTTATCGTTAGACGGAATAACACCTGAGTCCTCAGGGATGGCAACGCATGGGGGGTATCATGGACGAAACAGTATACTCTGTTATGTCCATGGTACTGCTCATGTCTATAAATTGTTATGTCCATAGTACTGCTCATGTCGGCCTGTCTTTGTTTGTCTAACGCGTAACACATACGAGGCCGTGAGACTCTTGTTCAAACATTGAATAAGACGCTCTGAGATAGGAAGTGTGGTATAACCTAGATTTAGTAATTCGATGTTCAGTTGTTAGTAACTATTGATTGACACTATGACATTTTAGCTATTTTTATTTTTTTTATAACCTACTCTTGAAATTATACTTTGTAAAGAAAAAAAAAAGTTTTGTTAGATTGAATAGTAGTGGGCAGTATCTAATACAGGTTTTTGTACTTTTTTTTTATGGATGATAATGAAATGGTAACCCCGCCTGCGCTATCGGTATACATTGGCGGGGTGCCAGTGAGAAGTGATAGACGAGGATGAAAAGGCAGGTCAGTTAGCTCACCGTGACGAATTCAACGATAAATTAGTCACGATAGTTTCCAGGGGGAACCGAGTGGAGGTCGACCTGGTAGGGTACATTGATAGCAATGGGGACTAACCTCCCCATTACTAACAATCCATTCCCTCCTCCTTATGACGGTCTATAGGGAAGGCATCATCATATCAGCCGTTATCTGTACACTCAGCAGCATAAGTCTCCCTATAGACTGTCATAAGGAACGGAGCCGTTCCTTATGGTAGTTTATTATTAGGGGGGTTTTATCCGTAGTTGCCAGGCTTGGTTGGTTGGCAACTGCAATTTGGCTTCTGGTCATATTTCAAGAGGGACGCTGCTGCCCATTCCGTCACCATTAAGTTTTCATGGTCGCATTTTAATTGGGGGGGGGGGGGGGGCTTGTCAATTGTTGCCATGCTTGGCAGGCGGGTTGACAACTGCAGTCAGGTTTTTGAAATTGTTTTAAGAGGGGCGCTGCTGCCCATCCCTCGCCCTCTCTTAGTCGCTTGTTTGAAGAAAGGAAGGGATGGCCTGTTCTATGCCGAGGCCTACATAGCTATCCATTACGTTTGTTGAATTAGTATTGATGATGGATTATGCTTTAAAGCCTAAGGAATAATAAATATGGTGCGTATTGTTTCAGATTCATAAAACTCACAGCCAAACAGAGAGTACTGCTGTACAATTTGATAGAGAGTAGCCCCGTGCTAACTTCACATCAAATAAAACCCTGCATTAGGAGAATTTTAACTGAACATGGCAACACTGAGGAGGTTAAACAAGCCCTTGAGAAAATAGATTGCCAGACATGCGACAAAGAATTTAAGTTTTTAAACGAATTGTGCCTACAATGCTTGTCGAAAGCGTTCGAATCGATTCATCAGTTTACTTTAGTTGATGGTATTAAGGCATTTTCTCAAGTGGCAACTTCGGTTAAAGAGGACGATGAGTGGGTAATCCTGAAGAAGGCGGAGAGATATCCAGTCATACTAATTGTTGATGAAGTGAGTATACTTTATTTTCAAGCGGCATGAAAAAAGGAAAATGTTCTCAATTTAGTATATATATTTATCACCTCATAACTCCTTTATAAACTCTTCTGATAATTCATTTTTCTTGCTTCCATGAAATTTAAATTTCAATAGTTTCGTTAGGAATAAAACAAATTATATATATAAATTAAAAATATAAATAAAAAATTATATATATATATATATATATATATATATATAATGTTATTTGTTTTTAGATCCTCGACTCGTTCCCGTGGGAAACGCTACCCATTCTGAACCACCATCCAGTTTGTAGAATGGAGAATATCCATTTCATATATTATCTATTTAAACTTCACGAGGAACAGTTCGTTGGTGGATACTTCGAAGCCAGTGCTGACGTGGGGCGATATGTCATCAATCCAGGTAACAATGGAATATACTTTTTGAAAACATTTTTTTAAAGTTATTTTATTATATTATATTTCTTTATTAACCAATGTAACAGGGGGAAAGGGATTGTTAGTAATGGAGACTGAGAATCCCATTGCTAGTAATATACCCAACCAGGTTGACCTCCTCGCGGTTCTCCCTGGAAACTATCATGGTTAATTCCTGATGAATTCATCATGATGGGCTAACTGGCCTGTTTTCATTCTCATCTATCACCCTTCACTGGTGCTCCGTCAGCGTAACCCGTTAGCGCAGGCGGGGTTACCATACCATTTTTAACCATAAAAAAAAAAAAACAATGTAACAATTTTCGTCACACAATGGCAAGTCAATATTTAAACTTGCATTTTTTTTTTATACAACTTAGAATGTCAGGTGTTATTTCTCTGTACCCAGTAAATTCACACCATATCCTACATTTTAAACCGAAACACAGCCATGCAAACACAACTGCTTCACGGTTGAAACACGAATGGAAAAGAACTACCCAAGCAATCGACTTTTGTACAAAGTCTCCCTTTGGTAAAATTGCATTTTACGAGTATGATATCAGCCATTAATCGTACACTGGTGGAACATAGGCTTTCCAGTTGAGCAAGTTTGATAATAGTGGTTACGATTAGCAGGCGGATTGTACAGAGGAATAACACCTGAGTCCTCAGGAATGACAACGCATGGGGGGTAACATGGGCAAAATAGTATACTCTGTTATGTCCATGGTACTGCTCATGTCTATAGGCGATGGTTACCACTTTACATCAGGTGGGCCGTCAGCTTGTTTGCCATTCTAAGTTGTATAAAAAAAAATATCAACCACAGTTAGGCTTTGGTGATGTTTTAAGAAGGGACACAGCTGTCCATCCTCACCTGTTAAGGTGTCTTGGGGAACTTAATGGTAGAGAGATACTACATCCACAGGAATGGAAGGAGTGGCCTATTCTATACCGGGACCACACGGAACATAATAACCTTTTTAACTGTTTTCGCAATTACATGGAACCCTCGCATAATTTATTTATTTATTTTTTATTATTTTCAATATCCAGATAAGAATTTAGAACGCATGGAGAAACGCATGTGCTCCTTCGTGAACTATTGGTGCAGTGACTGGACCGGCCACGTGGCAGAGCCACCTTCTCCCGAGGACTACTTGAGGCACTTGACACAAGCTGACATATTCTTGTAAGTTTAATAACTTTATTTTGTTAAGAATAATGATTTTACTATGTCTCGATCGATACAAGCCTAGAGCCTCAAAAAAAGATCAACTTTTATTTCAGCTAATTGTTAAATTTGCTTATCGTTTTTTTTTTCGTCAGTGTTTTATATACTTTTTTTATACCACTGAGGTGGCAAACAAGTATACGGCCCACCTGATGGTAAGCGATTACCGTAGCCTATGACCGCCTGCAATACTAGAGGTATTACGCGCGCATTGCTGACCTGAAAAAATCTCTTTACCTCCCTTTTCAAGAACCCCATGCTGTAGTCTCTTGGGAAAACCTCGGCAGGGAGCTCATTCCACAACCTGAGTGTTCGTGGGAGGAAACATTTCTGAAACCGCACAGTACGCGACTATTGAGGCTGTAGGACATGAGGACTCCCTGTCGATGGCGAGCCGTACGATGGTAGAAAGTGGCTGTGGGCATCATATTGAACAATTTCTCTGAGCACAATCCATTGTACAGGCGGTAAAACACGCAGAGTGAGGCAAAATCTCTTCTAAGACTGCGATACCCCTTGTGAGCCTGGGATCATCGACAATTCTCATAGCTCGTCGTTGCAACGAGTCGAAAGGTTCAAGCTGGTGTTTAGGTGCTCCGGCCAATAAGTGACAGCAATACTCCACGTGGGGCCGGATTTGCGATTTGTAGAGCATTAATCGCTGATCCGGCGTGAAGTAGTGCTTCGCTCTATTGAGCACACCGAGTTTTTTGGATGCCAGCTTCACCTTATCTTCGAGGTGGCCACGGAATTGTACATCACTAGAGATGTCGACACCAAGGATCCCAATGCTTTTAGAGATGTTAAGAGACGTGCCTTGAAACTGTAGGGCCACAGCAAATGGGGTTTTCTTAACGGTGAACGCGCAAGCTACAACTAGGTATCTCAATAGCTGTGCGTTAATTATACGCTCCATTACCTTAGAGAGAAGGGAGGCGATCGCTATCGGCCTGTAATTTGAAGGGTCCGACTTATTGCCCTTTTTAGGTACAGGATGTACAAGGGTGGTCTTCCATGTCGAAGGAAATTGCTCTGTGGAGTACGAGATCGTGAAGAGATGCGTTAGTGTAGGACATAGTTCCGGAGCACACTGCTTTAGGACCACTGCCGGTATACCGTCTGGCCCACTCGACTTATGAACATCTAAGGATAGTAACTCTCGCCGGACTTTACATTGTGTTATAGTAATTTCCGGCATAGAGCTTCTACAGCACGGGATAGTAGGTGGTGCAAAATTACCTTCGTCCATAGTTGAGTTAGGGGCAAAGAGCAAAATATCGGCTTAAATATAGACAAAAAGAGCTAATATATCGGCTTTCTCTTTAGCACTGTAGGCCAAGTTACCATTCGGTTTCCGAAGTGGTGGAAAAGACGACTGACAAAAGTTTCCTTGGGCGGCTTTGGCAAGCGACCAGAAAGCACGATTACCAGAAGGAAGGCTTGATAGTCGCCTACCAATTTCGCCCACAAATTCAAATTTACCTCTGACAATAACTTTGTTACTGTGCCTCGAAGCAGCGTTTAATTTCCGCTTTGCATCAATGATCCCAGGATCCGAGTTAGTGCAAGCCGTAGTCCAAGCCTTGTACGCAGATTGCAGAGCAAATCACTCATAACTGTTTATCACGCAAAATTGTATAAATAGCTTGAACAGTTTTTCTCGAATCATGGATTATGGGGACACTAACTATATAATCTAAGCGGGTTTGGTGGTGGACACAGGTACTGCGGGCACGGCGACGGCTGCCACCTGGCAAGCGGCGGCGGCGGCGCTGGTGTGGAGGGCGTGCGGGCGCGGGCCGTGTGCGTGCTGGCGGGCTGCGGCTCCGTGCGCCTGCAGTGGGCCGCTGGTCGCGGGCCGCCCGCCGCGCCGCACCACCGACTACACGTGGCCGCCAGGTATACACTGTGTGCTGTGTGCTGTGTGCTGTGTGCTGTGTGCGTGCTGGCGGGCTGCGGCTCCGTGCGCCTGCAGTGGGCCGCTGGTCGCGGGCCGCCCGCCGCGCCGCACCACCGACTACACGTGGCCGCCAGGTATACACTGTGTGCTGTGTGCTGTGTGCTGTGTGCTGTGTGCGTGCTGGCGGGCTGCGGCTCCGTGCGCCTGCAGTGGGCCGCTGGTCGCGGGCCGCCCGCCGCGCCGCACCACCGACTACACGTGGCCGCCAGGTATACACTGTGTGCTGTGTGCTGTGTGCTGTGTGCTGTGTGCTGTGTGCGTGCTGGCGGGCTGCGGCTCCGTGCGCCTGCAGTGGGCCGCTGGTCGCGGGCCGCCCGCCGCGCCGCACCACCGACTACACGTGGCCGCCAGGTATACACTGTGTGCTGTGTGCTGTGTGCTGTGTGCTGTGTGCTGTGTGCGTGCTGGCGGGCTGCGGCTCCGTGCGCCTGCAGTGGGCCGCTGGTCGCGGGCCGCCCGCCGCGCCGCACCACCGACTACACGTGGCCGCCAGGTATACACTGTGTGCTGTGTGCTGTGTGCTGTGTGCTGTGTGCGTGCTGCCGGGCTGCGGCTCCGTGCGCCTGCAGTGGGCCGCTGGTCGCGGGCCGCCCGCCGCGCCGCACCACCGACTACACGTGGCCGCCAGGTATACACTGTGTGCTGTGTGCTGTGTGCTGTGTGCTGTGTGCTGTGTGCTGTGTGTGTGCTGTGTGCGTGCTGGCGGGCTGCGGCTCCGTGCGCCTGCAGTGGGCCGCTGGTCGCGGGCCGCCTATCGTTTTATACTTATTTTTTATTTTAAATCAAACCAAATTGTTTTATCATTCGCAGCCCCATGGTGGTGGGCATGTTGTGGGAAGTGACGGACTTGGAGGTGGACAAGATGGTGAGCACGCTGGTGTCTCTGTACGTGCCTTCAACAGCAGCGCCCGCGTGGCCCAGCGTTGGGAAGACCAAGTGGAGCCAGGGGCAACTTGGTTAGTATTAGTCCCTGTTACTTACTAGTTCTGCCTCGTGGCTCTGCTCGTGTGAATTATAGAGCATCTATTTACGAAAGTGTTCTACCAGTAAAACTATTTTCACCGTAGAAATATGGTTCGAAAATGAATGGATGCGCAATATTATTATAAGAGACTAGACTTTTTAAAAATTATCTCCAATAGACAATATTAACTTAGTAGAAATACAGAAAAAAGCAAGAACTAGCAACCCCATGTCTTATGATTATTACTAGTGTCAAAATTTCAATGTTCAACGGTTGATCCTTGTTAGCGATATCAGTGACATTGCTAAGGTATATTCATAATGCGTTTCCCGCCGCGTTCATCACTTATTACCCAACGAAGCTTATTATATGCCTTTTTTTAATTTCATTGCTAATCATCATCATCTTCCTACCCTTATCCCTTATTAATTTTTATATTATTATATGTATTACATCTCCCATATCTAGAACTAACAAAATTTTTCATCGTGCCTCCCACCAAATTGTTTATAATTACTCCTCTCCATCCAAAGGTTGGCTGGAAGAGATCGCTCTTAGCGATAAGGTCGCCCATTGTTTTCTCATTGTGATTATTTCTTGTAATTATTTATATTTATAATAAGTTTATTATTGTAATCTTTTGGAAGAAACAATAAAGAGTATCTATCTATCTATCTATATCCCAATCATTTGTGGTCGGCGTAATATGATTTTATCCATATTACAAAAAGATTTGGTTTTTAGTTTTACGACCGGCCACCTGCCTGACGTCAACCCTCTTTGGGAATTACTTTCTTTAATTTCATTACTAATAGTGTAGATATATATTTTTTTTTTATGTTACCAATATTGCTGATTTTTTTATTTGCTAATTTGTACTCTATTTTCTTTTTATGTAAATATCATTTATGCTTGCGACTGAAGGACTTGTTTTCATGGTCATGAATAAATAAAAAAAGTTATTAACTAATTTTATATTTTAATTTGGAAATGTTTTAATTTTTTTTTTTATTTATATTTAAACTTCAATGTAGAAATATAGGCATAAGTGTACACAATTATGGTGGACTTAGGGACTGTTAGTGGACTGGTATCCTCAGTCATCCATGGGACAAACAGGGAATTAAGTAGGTGCTGCATCTACTATTAAAATTCTGAAATAAATAAGAAGTTGTTTTACAAAATAACTTGATTGTTGGATAAAAAGAAGGGTAAAGGACAAATCTGGTTCACTTAGTCCCCGCGTGTAGGTCTTTTGTACGCGTTCTCGTTCTCTCTTCAAATTATCCAACACTTTTGTTGATTTGCATAAGGTGTCACTGTATGTTGCGCGGAGATCGCGGCTGAATGAATAATTCCCAACTGGTGGAGATTTTTCGTGATCTTGCCGGAACTTGATCAGCTCGACGCGCAGTTGAATTATAGACTGATTTTGTCCATCTACCCCCCAATGTGATCCCAGATTTGATAGGGAATATGGATAGGTAAGGAGGGTACAAGGATATTGTGTTCGGAAATGTTTATTGCATATACAAATGATGAGAGTATATTTACCATTGATAAATTATTTTTATGACAGAATATAAATTTTGTTTTTTTGTTTTTTATATCAGTCCATTTTAAATTTATTTTCCAGATACTGATGTAGCCGAGAAGAGTCCATTCGTGCCAGAACGAGACCTACTGCGGGCGGTGGCCAGGTCGCGCGGCTCCACCAACTACGTGATGATAGCGAGCAGCATGGTCGCCAGAGGGCTTCCCGTTCGAATCTCACAGCGAAACTGAGGTGTAACCACAGAGCAAGTACTTAAGAGTCAGCACTATCCTTATATTGACGAAATTGGAACATGAATCTATGCAACCATCTAAAAAAATCACAATAAAAATAAATTGACATTCACAGTATTTATTGAAACACAACTGATATGGTGATAGCATTTTTTATTAGACACAGACTAGTCTCAATATGGACTGACTACATAATTGACATTTCACTCGTATGGCTTGGCTTTAGTGCCCCTCCTGGTATGGCTTGATGTGTGGCTGAAGACGGGCTTGGCTGGGCATTGGTTAGTGGCGACATCTTGTGCCTTGATGTGGTGTTTTTTTTTTTAATAGATGATAATGGAATGGTAACCCCACCCGCGCTATCGGTATACACCGGCGGGGCACCAGTGCTGGATGATAGGTGAGGATAAAACAGGTCAGTTAGCCCATCGTGACGAATTCAACAAGAATTGTTCACGATGGTTTCCAGGGAGAACCACGTGGAAGTCGTCCTGATAGGGCATATTGCTAGTAATGTCAAACTCCATTGCTGACAATCCCTTCCCCCCCCCCTGAGCAGTACCATGGACATAATAGAGTATACTATTTCGCCCCCCCCATACCCCCATGTGTTGCCATTCCTGAGGACTGTGTTATTCTTCTGTACCCTGTAAATTCACTGCTATGTCCCACTCTTCAAACCGAAACACAACTGCTTCACGGTAGAAACATAAAGGCGCCAGAGGTACCAAAGCAAACGACTTTAGTATAAAGTTTCCCTCTGGTATTTCTCCATCCCTAATGGTTTACGTGTATATATATGTACATATATGTACTAAATTTCATGTGCATTTGTTGAGTTTTTAAAACATCCACAATTAACAAACAGTTTCACTTTCACATTTAATGTATTATTTAAAATTTTCAAATTTAATGAACTGGTTGCATACATTTTATATGAACTAATTTTTATTTAAAATAACGCAGATCCACCAAAAACTTATAAAATAATGTATATTTGTATATAAAAGAGAAAGCTGATAGATAGATAGAAGGTCGATAATTAACATCTTCAAAACAATATATTTTGTTTCAGGTACATGAGTTAAATTGCGGTCAACAAATACCTGTGATGTTAGTAGTTGTAGTGATTAAAATGTAATAAATATTTTATTTTAAGTTTCAATCGTATATGTAAATACCATTCCTTACGATAATCCATTGGGGAGATCTACGTTCAATAGTGAACAGGTAACAGCTGTGAGTACGACTGGCTTAAAATGATTTAATTTGATGTTAATTTCGATATTAAAAGAGGGAGACTTTGTACAAAAGTCGATTGCTTGGGTACCTCTGTTCCATTCGTGTTTCAACCGTGAAGCAGTTGTGTTCGCATGGCTGTGTTTCGATTTGAAGGGTGGGATATGGCGTGAATTTACTGGGTACAGAGGAATAACACCTGAGTCCTCAGGAATGCAACGCATGGGGGGTATCATGTGCGAAACAGTATACTCTGTTATGTCCATGGTACTGCTCATGTCTATAGGCGACGGTTACCACTTTCCATCAGGTGGGCTGCCAGCTTGTTTGCCATTCTAAATTGTATAAAAAAAAATTAATGAACAAAAAAAATTGCAAGTAAAAAAAATTCAGCCTATATCTATACTTTATTTAATACTGACTGTATTTTCATGGCTTTGTCCGTGTGTAGTGAAATAAAAAGTACCCTATGTCTGATCTAAAATATGATCAATGAAAATACGTACAGCTCTTCAAGCACGATTAAAATTTATTTATTTAACAAATATCCCAAAATTCTAATATCACTATTTGGGGAAGGGATTGTTAGCAATGAGGTTTGACAGCCCCGTTGCTAGCAATATGCCCTATTAGGTCGACCTCCACGTGGTTCCCCCAGGAAACTATCGTGAACAATTCTTATTTAATTCGTCACGATGGGCTATAACTGACCTGCTTCATCCTCACGTATCATCCTTCACTGGTGCCCCGCCGGTGTATACCGATAGCGCGGGTGGGGTTACCATTCCATTATCACCTATTAAAAAAATATTACTATTTGTAATGTAAGAAAGACTCTGTTTTCCGCACTTAGCCTCTCATTTGGGCCGTTGTGCGTAATATTACTATTTATATAATATAATATAATATAATCAGAGAGCTGCGTGGTCTCGGCATAGAATGGGCCAGCTCTTGCTTACTCGTGGAGTTCGTAAGAGTTGACTAAGGAAACTTAACGGTCGAAGGATGGGCAGCAGCGTCCCTTGAAATATCGCCAGAGCCTAACTGCAATTGTCAATCCACCTGCTAAGTATGGCAACTACTGGTAACAACACGCTCCGTGCGGGGAAAGGGATTGTTAGTAATGGAGATTAAGAATCCCATTGCTAGCAATATACCCAACCAGGTCGACCTCCTCGCGGTTCCCCCTAGAAACTATCATGGTTAATTCCTGATGAATTCATCATGATGGACTAACTGACCTGCTTTCATTCTCATCTATCACCCTTCACTGGTGCTCCGGCAGCGTATCCCGTTAGCGCAGGCGGGGTCACCATACTATTTTCACTTATCAAAAAAAACCTTCAATAACAATACGATCGGCGAAAATATAGTTAATTATTACATTTAGTTAATTATATTTTTTAAATTTGACAATGACAATTAGTTTTTTTTTTTTTTTGAAAAAATTTGACACTTGTAATTATTCTCCTTAATGTTTTACTTTCTTAATTATACAATATGATCATGCCTACTTGTACAACAATTAGTCCATTGCCCTAAGGTTGTCTTGAAAAGATTGCTCTCAGCAATAAGACCGCCTCACTGTACTTATACAACTGTATCGTTACATTTATTAATTGCTTTGCTTATTTCCTATATTGTATAATACAAATACAGTATACTCATTCATTCATCGGGCTCCGAGTAAGTAAGTATCTAATAATTTTCCTGAAAATGCCTCGTTTAGAGGGGAAACACGTGTCGCAAAACGTGCGTGGACATAATGGTAGTCGGAGATTGATGATTAATATGGAATGGCGTTGAAATTCTGGTAGTAATAGCGGTGAACAGTCTTTGAGTGTTGGCAGCCACACATACTAATGGTAGTAGAATTAAACGAAATAATTTTAATTAGATAACCAGTTTATATTTCCATTTGTTACTAATTTATTTAGTAAACGTAAACTTACGTTTTCGTTAAGTTCTAACTTGAGACAGACCATAGTAATAGGCGGTAGATCCTAAGCCTGAGCGGAGACAGTTCCATGCCGCGGCTGTGGCGGAGGTCGCGGCGACGGCGCAGGCGCGGCCCTGCGGCGACGTCGCGTCGACGGCGGCGTGCGGTCCTTGCTGTCCGACATACGCTGCATCGCCTAGTCGACAACACCACTCTTATTGTTTTATTCGAATTATCAGAGGTAGGCGTCACAGTGTATACTGTGATGCTCATTAGTCGGGACCTCGTCTTTTTATGCAACTTTTAATACCAAACAAGCTAACAGCTCATTTGATATAAAGTAAGCGTCGCCTACAAGAAGAAAGAGTACATCGGACATCATAGAATAATATACTGTGACGCCAACGGTGGTTACCGTTTCTTCAACTTAGAACGGCAAACAAATTTAGACCATTTGATGGGTAATGGTAAAAATTGACATGTGGTCCTGGCATAGAATAGGCCACCTTTTTCTTTCCCATAAGTGTCGTAAGAGGCGATTAAGGAAAATTAATAGTATAGGGATAGGCACTAGCGTTTCTTTAATACATCATCAAAACCTGACTGCGGTTGCCAACCCGCCTGCCAAGCTTTTTTTATACGACTTAGAATGGCAAACAAGCTGACGGCCCACCTGATGGAAAGTGGTAATCGTCGCCTATAGACATGAGCAGTACCATCAGGGCCGTGCCTGGGTATATGGCCGCCTGCGTGCCAGTCTGTATGGCCGCCCCCAGGATAACATTAAAAAAAACTACTTTAATTTTTAATGTTTATTGTTATACACAGGGCATCAAACCGGGAAAAAAATCAGTTTTTGGTTAACCGAAATCGGCCCAGTAAACAACTTGTAACGATTTGGCCGCCTCTTAATTTCGGCCGCCTGCGTGCGGTGCACGCAATGAACGCCCGTCAGGCACGGCCCTGAGTACCATGGACATAACAGTACACACACATACTGTTTCGCCCATGATATCCCCCATGCGTTGCCACTCCTGAGGATTCGGAAGCCTGACAACCACTGGCAAAACTCCATTGTCATGTCTAGCAGTGGACAGTTAACGGCTGATATGATGGTAAACACTACCAAAAATCACTATAAAAAATCACTTACTTCATCAAATTTGATGACACCAACCACCTCCATGATCTTCTTCTCCAAACTCTTGATGTACAGTCGAGCGTTGGTCACGTTCACGTCGAAGGCCTTCCCGAGTAGCTTCAGTATAGGCAACGAATTGCATTCAGACGATCTGTAGGTAAATACAGTTCTAATTAAAGTGGATGGATGGGCGCCTGTTCGAGTAACACGAGGGGTATTACGGGCGCGTTGCTGACCCTGAAGAAATTTTGTACACGGGAGATATTATAAGAAATTGATATGAGAGGTATCATGCGTGCCAACTACGTGTAGCGTGACAACCACGGGCAAACGGGGAGAAAGGGATTGTTAGTAATGGAGACTGAGAATCCCTTGCTAGCAATATACCCAACCAGGTCAACCACCTCTCGGTTCTCCCTGGAAACTATCATGGTTAATTCCTGATGAATTCATCATGATGGGCTAACTGGCCTGATTTCATTCTCATCTATCACCCTTCACTGGTGCTCCGCCAGCGTATTCCGTTAGTGCAGGCGAGGTTACCTTACAATTTTTACCCATTAAAAAAAAAACCACGGGCAAACCCCCCCAATAATGGTAGGTTTATTTTCAACAGCGGACAGTTATCGGTTGACACGGCATGGTAAGAACTTTTTATATTAGCAAGTATTAGTGAGGATTTTGCCCAAATATTGGTTAAACCTTCAAAATAATGTCAGACTTCCTATTCTACATATATAATCTGAATCAATTAGATCACTCCTTGTCCTCGACTCGAGTGATATCATAATAAAACAAGTTTTTAACAGACGCTACTAGCTGTCGTCCGATATGGAAATGTCCAGTTTCGGACACGCCACACCAGCCCACTCCTAAATTTTGGGAGGCTATTTTTACTACGCGGTTTTTTTTTAATGGATGATAATGGAATGGTAACCCCGCCTGCGCTATCGGTATACACTAGCGGGGCACCTGTTTTTTCATTCTCACCTGTCATCTACAGGTGAGAATGAAAAAACAGGTCAATTAGCCCGTCGTGATGGAATTCAGCAGGATGGTTTCCAGGGAGGATCACATGGAGGTCGACCTTTTTGGGCATATTGCTAACAATGAGACTGGTAGTCCGGATTATTAACACCCCCCCCCCCCCCTTAATGGATGTTAATAGAATGGTAATGGTAATGGTACCAGTGAGGGATGATAGGTGAGAATGAAAGCAGGTCAGTTAGCCCGTAGTGACCAATTGATGGGACTGCTCATGTCTATAGGCGACGGTTACCATTTTCCATCAGGTGGGCCGTCAGCTTGTTTGCCATTCTAAGTTGTATAAAATAAAATTTAACAAGAATTAACCACTATGGTTTCAATGGGGAACCGCGTGAGGTCGACCTGATAGGGTGTATTGCTAGCAATGAGGTTGTTAAATTTCATTACTTACAATCCCTTTCCTCCCACATGATGCGTATTTCTTAGGAGCCAGTTCCCCATTGGTGAAATTAAATATAATGAAAGAATAAAGACTTACAAGGCCAAGTTCTGTATATGCTGTAGTAATCCCGCCAGCACCTCAGCGTTTCGGTCATAAGTTTGTTGCAGCTCGGCCGTCGCTTCCCGCTTTTGTTCTAGCGTAGTTCGCAGTGATTCTATGCTGTCCTGCTGTTTGCACATCTTGGCTTCGTGCTTTGCACGCTCGTCATCTGAAGAGATAGATATTAAGGGATTGTATTTTTTTTTAAACAACTTAGAATACCAAATAAGCTGACGGCCCACCTGATGGAAAGTGGTAACCGTCGCCTATAGACATGAGCAGTACCATGAACATAACAGAGTATACTGTTTCGCCCATGATACCCCCATGCGTTATTCCTGAGGACTCAGGTGTCCTAGTAAATTCACGCCATTTCCCATCCTTCAAACCGAAACACAGCCATGCAAACACAACTGCTTTACAGTTGAAACACGAATGGGACAGAGGTACCGAAGCAATCGACTTTTGTACAAAGCCAGAGGGATCTGGTCTGTATTATAGAGATGAAGATATTATAGGTTTATAGGTTATAATATTTTAGGGTATAGAGAACAACGACGTCGTTGAATAATAACTACCGGGAATCATCATCAAATCAGCCATTAACTGTCCACTCCTGAACATATTAGCCTTCCCTTACTGGTGAGTTTGGGCAGCAGTAGCCACGTTTAGCAGGCAGATTGGCAACCGCAGTTAGGCTTTGGTTATGTTTTAAGAGGGGCGCTGCTGCCCATTCCTCGATTAAGTTAAGTTCCCTTAGTCGCCTCTTACGACACCCGGGGGAAGGGAAGGAAGAACAACCGAAATCTTTGAAATTTACCAATGTCAACTTTGAGCATCTTGACGTTGTCACTCAAATTCTTCAGCTCGCTGTTGACTTCGTTTATATAATTGAACAGTGCGTAGTTCTCTTCCTCACGACGCGTATACTCCTGGATTAGTTTGTCTACGTCGTCTTCACCAGTAAACTCCTGTAAATTAATTAAATGTAGCATACGGCCCATCAGATTGTAAACGATCACGCCAAACACTTTGGCAGAGGAAGACTTAAAAACAAATTGATTTGCGTAGGTATTTTTGGCTCATTCTGATCTCTACCATCAAATCTTGGCGAAACAACCAGCTTCAAGCTGAAACACAACTATGCAGACTATATATCAGTTCGAAGGGTGGGATCAACATCATTATTATCATCATGTAAGCCGTCAACTGTCTATTGTTAAACATAAGCCTCTCCCTTGGGTAGTTTGCCAGTATTTACCACGTTTGACAGCCGGGGTGGCAACTACAGCTAAGTTTTGGTAAAGTTTTAAGAGGGACGTTGCTATCTATTCCTCGACATATACAGTGCGAAGGTGTAACACCATAATTCTCTGGAATGGTAATGCATTAGGGACACCAAGAGTGGTATCGATTAGTATAGACGACGGTTACAACTTTCTAGTAAAACGACCGCTCATAAAATAATTGAAGACTGTGTTCCACAAAGATAACGACTTCAATTGTGGCAAAATATACTTATTTTAATTTCAAAACTAAACTGCTGAATCGATTTTGATTAAATTTCTATGCTATTAGCTTATAAGTATATCTTCTCAGATAAAAAACTTTTCAAATTGATTTATAATTAACGAATTTATGAGGTAACAGACATAAAAAATCCATAAAATTGAGAAGCTCCTTCATTTTGAAGTCTGTTGAAAAGTAAACTAAACCAAACTTGACAATACTTGGTTTAAGCGACCAAACTTTTCATGAATTCGTGCATAGTCAAATGTGTGTTTACTTTAATAGCGTCCAATATATTAACGTAGTTGTTGTAAATCCTCATTTCCTCCTCCTGCTGCTCCAGCCGTTTGGCTTCGGCCTTCGCGTCGGCCGTCGTTAGTCTGACTGTTCCTTTTGTACGGAGGAACTCCTCCAGTTTCATGCTGTGGTCCAATTGTCGCTGGAGCTCGCGTACTTCCTGTGCAGTTTTTTTTATACATTAAAAAACAATTTAGAATCAGATTTCGCATTCTAAATTTAAATATTTTCAAATTAATGTGGCTACAAAACATTGAAGCAGCTTTTTTTGCAGAACAAAATTTACATATAGTTTTACATGTCACTTGAACAATCTTACTGAAGTTAATCTAAAATATTGTTAGAATATAATTAGTAATCTATGTATATATTTAATCTGTAATTAACACTGACTCTTTTTATCTGTACCGTCCATTCTCTCTCTTCTCTGCACCTCATGGTGGCTCTCGTACGTATTTGTATTAGTAAATTCGTGTATAATATAGTATACATCATATATGTGTAAGTATATTTGTTATTCATATATATTTATTCGTTTATATATGTCATTTTAGTATGTATGTATATCAATAATTAGTAGTACCGCATTCGAGTATTCTGACACTTTCCTATGGTTGACTGGGAGAGAATGCTTTTAGCATTAAGTCCACCATGTACACATATTTGTACTAATGAATAAATAAATAAATAAACATTAATTTGTACTCATGAAAAACATTAAAATAAAGTTGTTCCTCTTATTAACTTCCAAGCTTTTCCTACAGTTACACTTCATCAATATATCTACAATTTACCAGAACTTACCAGACAATGTCTTCTGTAGTCCATAGCAGCTTTCTCTTTTAAGGCGTCCAGTTTGTTGCACCACTCCTCTCTCTGGTCGTACGTGGTGATCGCCTGTTCTACCAACTCCAGGATCTGCGCCTTGCCGTCCATCATCCTTTTGATCTGGTTCTTCCAGATCATGTTGAAGAATTGGCTAAGAGATAAATATTTAAGCTATCAGTAGAAATACTATGTTACAAGATATATTACTACCACATTAATATAAATAGATACTCTTTATTGTTTCCTTCAAAAGATTACAATAGTTAACTTATTATAGATACAAACAATTACAAGAAATGATCACAATGAGAAAACAATGGGCGACCTTTACGCTAAAAGCGATCTCTTCCAGGAAACCTTTGGATGGAGAGGAGTAATTATAAACAATTTAAATGAAAGCACAATGAAAATTCTATAATATAATATTCATAAAGCGAACAAATTTGTTCAAACGTGAAAATTTCTAGAATTACCAGTCAAAAAAAATCTACTTGCATGCGACAGCTCAAATTTTGACGAAGGTTGTAGGCTATTCATCATCACTGTACGACCACAGGTTTTGGTAATAGAGACTCGTGTACAATATACACAGTGTTTTAATATTCAATTCTAAAGTCCGGTTAAAAATTAAAATACTTGCCCGCAGGTTTTATGCGTGGATTTGTAAAGTAGGTAAGCACATCTATAAATAATTGGCTAGTAATATCAGAGATGTATTTATATGTGTATGCTTATGTATGTACTTTTAATTATATTATAATAGGCCTTTTGTATATGCACATTCTGTATAAATACTCTTTGTATACATCTCTTTTGTACGTATTAAAGAGTTTATTATTGTTATTATTAATTTAAACAAATAAATTATTGTATTTTGGGTATTTACCGGTCTCGTAGCAACTTATCAATTTCCAGACGTATCTTGAAGTTCTCGCTATTCACCGTGTTGAACTTCTTCATTGCCGTGTTCAAGCGGTTCTCCAGTTGACTCAGCATCGTTTGATTGGACAGTGTGTTCGTATACTCCTGTAACATCATTCTGTATCCTAGACAGTCTTGATGGTCTAAATTCAAATTTAAATCATCTTTACTCAAATAGACTTCTTTACAAGCGCTTTTAAATCGCCGATTCTTTTTTTATCTACTGCAGGGTTTGGAAGGTAGTTATTCGTTGAGAAGAGCCCGCAAGAAACTCAAAAGTTGCTCTTTTAAATTTCTGTTAACATTATGTGTATTTATTTAAATCTACTATATCTAAAATTACATGGTCGTTAAAAGCCAGTGCATGATCGACTAACACCATGCACAATTGTCATTCAAGTAATCATTGAATGATGCTTTGCGTAATAAGGTCACGGGTACGATTCCCGATTAGTTCAATTTGGGAAATGAACTTTTCTAAATTAACTCGGATTTAGATGTTCTGGATTATACTCTAAGGTTTTCATTGCCTGTTTCCTCATAGCACAGGCTATTTTATCTCGAAGATCTGGAGTTTTGGGTATTTTATATGTTATGTATTAAAAAATAAAAGTATTTAATCATCATAGCTACAATATAAGCTTTGCTTAGTTTGGCACTGGACGGCACTATGTCATGTATCACCACCATATCATCAGCTGAACATAGACCTGTTCTTATGAGGGGTTTCGACAGTAGTTGCCACGCTTGCGGGTGTGCAAAATCCACACATATTTATTTATTTATTACATCCACTGGGTGAGCCTTACAGTCTTCCAATACGCTCACCCAGGAAAGCATGAGTACAATAACATATAAAAAGGAATATTACACGAAAATAACAAAAAAATATATAAAAAGATTTAACTCAAACAACGTCTGAACACAAATACTCTGTGGTCACTCGACGAAACTCCAGCAAGTTGGAGGCAAATACATCCAATTGCGGATACTGGCTCAAAATATCATTGAGTAGTTTCAATGCAAGAGATAGGGGAGCTTGGTTAACTTGCTTATGTTCAGTAGTGGACAGCTAAAGGCTAATATGATGATGAGTTTAATTCTGAAATCAAAATACAATTGCCACAATTGGAGTCTTTTTGTTACGGAATATAATCTTCAAATATATATAACATCAATTTAAAAAGTTCCAATTGGCAAGTGACATTTTAAGAACTTACCATTTCACTCCCTGTACCCTTACTCCTCAACCCTTTGATTTCCCTCTGCACCTGCTTTATAAGGAAGTCCAGCTCATTGATGTTGGCTCGGTGTTCCCTCACCTCGGTGGAACACCTCTCATGCTCCTTCAGCAGAGATATTAGTTTATCTCGTGTTCTGGTATTTTCTAGAACGTTCGACGTGCTTTTCGTTAGCTGTTGAATAAAAGAAGAATATTTTATTATATTTTCTTTCGTTGCTTCTGTGAAAACAAGCAGGTACTTTTAAAGTAACTATATTTAACGTACTGATAGATACGTTATCGCCATTGTATATGTTTATAGGACAAAACAAGATAGAAACTTTTGAGAGATTTCTATCTTGTTTTGTGAGATTGTTAGCAATGGGGACTAGTAGCCCCAATGCTAGTAATATGATATCTGACATGTCCACTTCCACGCAGTTCCCTTTGTAAACCATCGTGGTGCAATTCTTGATGAGTTCGTCATGATGGACCTAATTTATCCTCACCTATCGTCCTTCACTGGTGTCCCGCCAGTGTATACTGTTAGCGCAGGTGAGGTTAGGTACCATTCCATTATCATCCATCAAAATTGTGATTGCGGTGCTGAAAATGTATTAGAGTGATCGAAAAACTAAAACTAATTAATTATACAAAACAAGTTTTTAAAATATTGATTGTAATAATTATAAATATTGTTTTTAAATACAAAATTTACACTCTATAAGAATTTCATCATCATCATCATCATCATATCAGCCGTTAACTGTCCACTGTTGAATATAAGCCTCCCCCTTGGGGAGTTTTGCCAGTAGCAGCCAATAGGTGGTCAATTCTATACTGGGTTCTAACAGCAATAAGAATTTATATTTTATTAATATTATAAATGTAAAGTAAAAATGTTGACTTTTTTATGATACTTAGAATGGCAAACAAGCTGACGGTCCACCTGATGGAACGTGGTAGTCGTCGCCTATAGACATGAGCAGTACCATGGATATAACAGAGTATACTGTTTCGCTCATGATAACCCCCATGCGTTGCCATTCCTGAGGACTCAGCTGTTATTCCTTTGTACCCTGTAAATTCACTGCCATATTTCACTCTTCAAATCGAAACACAGCCATGCTAACACAACTGCTTCACGGTAGAAACACGAATGGGACAGTTGTGCCCAAGCAAACGATTTTTGTACAAAATCTCTCTCTGGTACAACAGATATTATATTATTTATTATAAATGTTTTATTGTTAAAAATTATAATTCAAAGGAGATTATGTCTATGTTAATAAATATTTGCAACCCCAATAGCGAGGGGGGGGATTGTTAGTAATGGAGACTGAGAATCTCATTGCTAGCAATATACCCAACCAGGTCGACCTCCTCGTGGTTCTCCCTGGAAACGATCATGGTTAATTCCTGATGAATTCATCTGTGAAATGGGCTAACTGGCCTGTTTTCATTCTCATCTATCACCCTTCACTGGTGCTCCGCCAGCGTATCCCGTTAGTGCAGGCGGGTTACCATACAATTTTCACCCATCAAAAAAAAAACCCCAATAGCGGTAAAACCTAGCACTTTGTACAACATCAAATTTATAACTATACCTATGTTTATTCAAATATAATCAATATTTGAAATATAACGATAGACTATAACGAAAATGTACACAGGCGGACCTTTAAAGGGATTTCTATATTTCTAAATTATAACCTAACTTAACACAAGACACTTGGGGGAAAAGGGATTGTTAGCAATGGAGTTTGACAGCCCCATTGCTAACAATATGCCTTATTAGGTCGACCTCCACGTGGTATCCCCTGGAAACCATCGTGAACAATTCTTGTTGAATTCGTCACGATGGGCTAACTGACCTGTTTCATACTCACCTATCATCCTTCACTGGTGCCCCGCCGGTGTATACCGATAGCGCGGGTGGGGTTACCACTCCATTATCATCCATTAAAAAAAACCCAAGACACTATACACTGATTCACGCGGGTAAAGCCGTGGGAGATATAAAGTGCTAAATACATTTTTTATATTTAAAATTTTTGCAAATCTATGTAGGTATATATGTCATCAAAACATCCACATAACTGACCAGAGCGTAAACAATAAGTAGATTTACGAAACGCAGTCTTAATTAGGACTTTGTGAGTAGAAACAAATCATGATTCCCAGACTGTGTTTCGTTTAATTAACAGTTCGCATTGTATTAATTAAAATGTACCTTCACACTGTTTAAAATTCAAGACGCCAATCTATTGCATTGTCAACGTAGATACATAACGTAGGCAGATATAAAATGCAATGTTATAATTGTGCAACTTAGAATGGCAAACAAGCTGACGGCCCACCTGATGGAATGTGGTAATCGTCGCCTATAGACATGAGCAGTATGGACATAACAGAGTAGGTATACTGTTTCGCCCATGATACCCTCATGCGTTGCCATTCCTGAGGAGTCAAGTGTTATTCCTCTGTACCCTGTAAATTCACTGCCATATCCCATTCTTCAAACCGAAACACAGCTATGCAAACACAACTGCTTCACGGTAGAAACATGAACGGGGCGGAGGTGCTCAAGCAAACGACTTTTATACAAAGTCTCTTTCTGCTAGACGGGTGGATGGATTGGTAATGGGAATTGTTCGAATCTTTAATAATAATAATAGATTTATTTTCTCTTCACAATTCATCACAGTGAAGTACAATGAGACATGCTTATATTAAAGTAACTAAATTATAAATATAATTGTCAGAGACTGGTGCCCAAGATAGGTGTAAGAATACTTGCATTACAGGTTACCAGGGCCTCACTCTGCATAGTTACTTTTTGAGTACTTGTAATATAGTATGTGTATTCAATTTAATAAATATGATTTGTTGAAAGAGATAATTTATTCTAATTTAGGTTTGGTAGTTACGCATGTGTGCGTGCGTGTCTGCGTGCGTGCGTTGTACGTGCGTGCGTGCGTGTGAACTTAATTAAGTACGTTTCATCATCATCATCATCATCATCATCATCATATCAGCCAATAGTTGAGACCCTTGGCAGGCGGGTTGGCAACCGTAGTTAGGTTTTGATGTTTCAAGAGATATGCTGCTGTCTATCTCTCGACTATTATATTCCCTTAGTTGCCTCATACGACACGCACAGGAAAGGAAGGGACCACACGGCGATTTAAGAATAACTGCATTTACATACGCATAATAGGTATATGTTATTTTTTGTGTTATTCCTGTTTTTGCTTCATCCGCAGTGCCTTTAATCTATCTTGTTACTATTTGTGAAAATCTATTAGTGGTTTCATTTGAAATCCTAAATTATTTACTCTAGTGAAGCCCTGTTTTTCCTGTAAATAAATAAATAAATGGATATTGTTACACGAATTACGTACATACATAATGCCACACATATTACCCATTCGTAATCTGCATACACGTTTTGTAACAATAATTTGTGAGTGAAAGTTTTAATTTAGTCTAATCAAAAACTTTTTTTCTATGACTATTAAAAGCGATTGAATTATATAAATAAAAAATTGTAATAAGTATATTTTTAGATGATATGCAATTGTATTGGGTACATATGTTATTATGTCATATACATTAGATATTATGGAGTCATGTTTATGTTTATGCGTGCAGTGCAATAAAGAAATTGTTGGTTTACTATGAAATTTAATAATTGTTAATTTAGCACTGCACGTACTAGGTTAATATGTTGCCCATTGGGGGGCGGGTAAGGGATTGTTAGTAATGCAGATTACCACTCCCATTGCTAACAATATATCCTAATAGGTCGACCTCTCCGTGGTCTCCCCTGAAAACCATCATGCTGAATTTCATGTTATTTTCATTCTCACGTATCATCTCTCACTGGTGCCCTGCCAGCGTATACCGTTACCGCGGGCGGGGTTACCGTTCCATTATCATCCATAAAAAAAAGTTATTGCCCCACCATTTTTATCTTAATTTACTATATTTGTATTTAGTACATATATAAGATCATTTTAATTTGTTAATTATGTCACTTATAACTAAGCCATTGGAAATATACTTCAAAATGGGGGGGGGGGAAGACGTTTTTTTAGGGTCGGCGTACGCGCGCGTAATACCCCTGGTATTGCAGGCGTTCATAGGCTACGGTAATCACTTAACATCAGGTGGGCCGTATGCTTGATTGCCACCTCAGTGGTATAAAAAAATACATCTCTATTAACCTCAATATTTTTTTTTACAACACAGGGGGCAAACGAGCATGCGGCTCACCTGATGGTAAGTGACTACCGCCGCCCATGGTCAACCCACAACACCTACGGCATTGCAGGTGTGCTGCCGGCCTTTTAATATAATATAACCCGCAACAGATATCATCATCATCATTAGTTCATCAAAGTTAATAGTTACTATGAGAATTCATTATTAAAAGGTTTTAAATTTTAAACTGCGGTTGCCAACCCTCCTGCCAAGCGTGGCAACTACTAGCAAAACCTCTTCCAATACGGGGATATCAATGTTCAGCAGTGGTCACTTAACGTCTAATATGGTATAATTGCAGAAAAAACTAATATTTTGCACTGAAGGAATGATTACAGATATTGGTTTATATGTCTCTTTCTCTCTCTTGATAGTAAAATTTCAAACATTGGTCTATTCTTTGCTCTTCTTTATTTACCAGGCGTTTTGAGAATACAGCTAAGAAAGAATGTGCACTATATTTTATCTGTACTGTCCTAATATAATAATTGAGGGGGGAAAGGGATTGTTGGCAATTTGATAGCCCTATTGCTAGCAATATACCCTGTTAGGTCGACCTCCACGTGGTTTCCCTTGGAAACCATCGTGAACAATTCTTATTTAATTCGTCACGATGGGCTAACTGACCTGCTTCATCCTCACCTATCATCCTTCACTGGTGCCCCGCCGGTGTATACCGATAGCGCAGGTGGGGTTACTATGCCATTATCACCAAAATAAAAAAAAAATAATAATTGATGATTACTATAAAAGCGAAGTTTCCCGTGTGGTCCATACATAGAATAGGCACCCCATCTTTTCCTGTGGATGTCGTAAGAGGCGACTAAGGAGGCCGAGGATGGGGGCAGCAGCATCCTTCTCAAAATATCTCCAAAGGTTAACTGCGGTTGCCAATCCGCCTACCAAGCGTGGCAACTACTTGCAATACTTTCCAAAAGGCTGATATGATGATGACGATAAAGGCGAAAACCCCCCTCCCCCCTTCCCCCAACTAGATGGAGTGACGACCTCAAATACATTGCAAGAAGTCAGTGGATGAAGTTAGGTCAGGACCATTCCTTAAGGCAGTCTATAAGTAAGGCCTATATATAGTTCAGCAGTGGACAGATAATGGATGAGATCAGATGACATCAACGTAATCTATTAGAGGGAGACTTTGTACAAAAGTCAATTGTTAGTGTATATTTTGTCTTGATACGTCATCTAGAAATATTATACCTAATACCAACAACGCGTACGAAATTGTGGCCAAAAGCTAGTCTCATATAGTCTTATACAGATTTCTTTTGCTTAATATTCCGATGTAGCAGTAGATCGTTCAGCCGCTGGTGAAATGAAGTCTCATTTAATGTAATAGTGGGCCCATTTCACCCATTTGTTAATGTTTATATTTATTTCTCAACAATTTAGACAATTCGCTATGAGGCGATAAATGAGTTTCTTTTTTGTTCTTCTAAGTTGAAACCTTTCCGTGATCGAATTTAAAATATAGTGATTTGAAGATATTGTAAATTCCTCATCACGATTTTTTTTCATACAACTTAGGATGGCAAACAAGCTGACGGTCCACCTGATGGAAAGTGGTAACCGTCGCCTATATACATGAGCAGTACCATGGATATAACAGTATACTGTTTCACCCATGATACCCCCCATGCGTTGCCATTCCTGAGGACTCAGGTGTTATTTCTCTGTACCCAGTAAATTCACGCCATATCCCACCCTTCAAACCGAAACACAGTCATGCAAACAAAACTACTTTACGGTTGAAACACGAATGGGACAGAGGTACCCAAGCAATCGACTTTTGTACAAAGTCTTCCTCTGGATATCATCATTTCAGCCATTATACAGATATATAGATAAAAAATTCTAAAAATTATAATTTTAGCTCCTACTACTCTTATTAAATCCTCGTGGATTTTTTTTAAATATTTCTCATGTACATATATCGTCTAATTAGAATTTTATTATATTATTAAGATAACATTGGTAAGGTGCCGAGTTAAACTGACTCGAATGCTTACAAAGTACTCAGGTACTCGAGTACTCGATCTGCGGAATTCGATACTCGAATGCAGGATTCGAGTACGTAGTTGCGTTATTCGAATACTAGTCGGGTGTTTATTGTAAGTTTTTAGGTCATGGCTTAATCAATTTTATAATTTTACAATTACCAAAGTTTACCAAGTTATTCAAATCAAATTAAATAATTTATTTTGCTAAAATATAGTTTGATGTATTACATAAGTGTTAATTGAATACATTTTTAAATACAACTATATTTTCGATCTTATGGGGTTCAAAATTTTAAATATTATGCATTATCTAATAATTAAATTATCATTACGGAATAAAATGTTAACGCATTGTAAATATCTTTCCCTTATATCATTCTCCTATTCATTTAGAGAGGAGCAGTAAGAGAGAAATGCTAAGAGAGTAGTGAACGTTCAGGTTATCTGTATAGGTTCTGAACTATACCCTTTGAATTCTTATCAATTTTCATTACAAACTATATATTTCTTTTATAATTTATTTTATTCTATGATACTGTTTTAATTTTATTGATAATCACTATCACTACACTATCACTACATAGTATAAAACAAAGCCGCTTCCCGTCTGTCTGTCCTTATGTATGCTCAGATGTTTAAAACTACACAATGGATTTTAATGCGTTTTTTTTTTAATAGATAGAGTGATTCAAGAGAAATGTTTATGTGTATTACATGCATACTATAGTAGAGAAATATTGATAATTTTAGAGGTTTCTAACGTGGTGTGATGTAATGTGCACCCGTGCGTAGCCGGGGCGGGTCGCTAGTCTATAATAAATATAAAAAAATATGAAATGACTGACGAATTATTATCTTTATTAAATGTAAGTTTAAGAAAGCAATCGAAAATTACTCGAATCGAATTAAGTACTCGAATATTCGAGTCTGAGTCGTCAGATGCAAGTAGTATTCAGAGTTTTTACTTTTTGGATACCATATTATTCGAATAACAAAAATAAACTTCGGTACATCATTACATAAGACTGCCGAAATGACATCAAGAGACTAATTTACCCGAGTCACGTGCAGAATCATTTAAAAACAGTTTCACGTTCACATCCCATGCAATAAACACGTATCAATATAATGGGAGGTTTCTAAACCCATACACTGTAAACGTTTATTTCCTCTATTTAAATAATTAGGTACTTTGATTGTTTTACAAACTTAAGTACACAGTATTTTGAAATGCATGATAGTTGTAATGATTACGTCTTTAGTTTATTGGGGTAGTGGGGTACTTATGGGGTATAGGATGATAAGTCAGGGTGAAGACATGTCAGTTGGCCTATCGTGATTAATTCACCTGGATTTATCTAAGGTCATTCTCCATATTGCTGTGTGATCCTAGCTTAGAATCAACCAACCCTTTTTTGACTTTGGGTGTCGTAAGAAGCGACTAAGGGAACTTAATTGTCAAGGGATGGGCAGCAGTGTCCCTCTTAAAATATCGACATTTGATTGCCAAGCTGCATGCCAAGCTTGGCGACTATTGGCAATACCCCTCCCTCCTCCCTTTCCAAGATGGAGGCCTATGTTCACACCAATGTTTGGGGTGTAATGATTATGATTTGCTGTTATAAAGATGATTTCCAAAGAGCAAGATCAAGATCAAGCGGACGGACTGGTAGGCAATGAATTGTGGTAAATGATTGTGACACTCACCTTCAATTCCATCATGATTTTTTCCAGCTCGGAGTTGAGGCTCTTAATGATGTTCCTCTGGACCCTCAGCGTGGGTTGTACGCTGCTCGTCACCATCGCTCGGTCGATCTCCATTACTCTGAACTGTAATGATAAAGTTTGATTTAGTATACAATGGTGGACTTATCCCATAAAGGGATCTCTTACAGTCGTTGACTGTAAGAGAGAGAGATTTGAGAAGTTGAAAGAAAACTGTTGAATGTATAAGGGTAATAACCGTAAAACTAAAGATAAACTAAATAATACCCAGTAAAAAATTTTATATATAATACTATAAAAACAGCTCTATATTTTTTTTTATACAACTTAGAAAGGCAAACAAGCTGACGGCCCACCTGATGGAAAGTGGTAACCGTCGCCTATAGACATGAACAGTACCATAGAAATAATAGAGTATACCGTTTCGCCCATGACACCCCCCATGCGTTGCCATTCCTGAGGACTCAGGTGTTATTCCTCTGTACCCTGTAAATTCACTGCCATGTCCCACCCTTCAAACTGAAACACAGCCATGCAAACACAACTGCTTTACAGTAGAAACACGAATGGGACAGAGGTGCCAAAGCAATCGACTTTTGTACAAAGTCTCCCTCTGGTCTCTTCCGGATTCACCTGGACCAAAGTCTCCAAGTCAGTAGGTAGATACGAAAAGACACTTTCACATAATATTAATTACTGTATAAACTAGTAGGTTTACCTGTCTCTGCAACTTGGACAGTTCATCCTCAGCTATCTTCTCCATTTCCATATCATCAGTTGGGACCGCCATCTTTAAATCTCTCGTCTTGTCTCTTCAGGTTTTATATGAGACCTTTTTTTAAGTCTTATTTAAAGGACTGAATGTTATTTCCTTGCACGAAGCGAAATATTTGAAATTAAATCAATATTGTAACTAAGTAACAGTGGTAGTAAAAGTTTGGAGGTTAGAAACGACATTTTGGTAGTGGTTTTCAAAGTGGATGTTAAGATTTTAAATGATTGAATGTTCGGATTTGTTACAATTATCATTTGAAATATCATATTTATGATAATTTCAACAAAATATGACTACATTTTCATTAATTTCTATTAAAATAGAGTAATTATTTAATACATTTTTTTTATGCAACATAGAATAGCAAACAAGCTGACGATCCACCTGATGAAAAGTGGTAACCGTCGCCTATAGACATGAGCAGTACCATGAACATAACAGAGTATACTGTTTCGCCCATGATACTCCCCATGTGTTGAAATTTAATACATTTAAAATGTACGTAACTTTAGTAATCCTTACTAATATTTTATAGATATGAAAGTGAGTTTGTTTGTTACCTTATAGCGCCTTAACGACTTAAACAATCACTATGACATTTAGTATACACGTACTATTGTATATAGGATGGAGAAGGATATTCGAGTAGGCTTACTACTTTACTACTTTATATTCCGTTCACTAAACATGTCCTGATCACGCGGACAAAGTCGCGGGTAAATGCCATGAGAAATCAAGAGGAAAAAAATTACATACTGTTATTTAAAGACCCATAGAATAATTGGATGTGCGAAATGGATAACATTAAGTGACGTTCAAGGTGAGGGGTGATTATAAAACTATAATGATATCACTTCCTACAACGGCTTTGACCACCAACAATAAAATGGTGCACCAGTTTTGACTGGCCACTCTCTTGGTTCACCTTGGTCTTATATATCTGTCTCTGTCTCTTGCGAAGGCTTTCCGACCTACCTGTTATCGCCATTTCATTTCAACGCACGTGCTGGTTTCTATCATAGATAAAGTCGTCGGGCAGACGTACAACTGTTTCTTTTAAAATATTTAATCTGTTAAGAATAATAATGATATTTAAACTAGTGTAATTTAGATTTTTAAGATAATTTAAAACAATATATGCTCACTCCTTCACAGTCAGAGACATTTGTCATATCTTATTGTTTTCATATAAATAATACAAAATTATATATATCTTTAGCTGTAGCCAAATAACTTAATATTAATAAATAAATATTAAAAAAAATACCATTCAGATGCCTCGCAAGCATCATTTTAATGGGACAGGATATTTAATAAGTACGTATTAGTTTTAATTTTTTTTTTAATATTTATGTGATTGATGAAGTTATTTTACGATTATAAATAAAACATATTTAAGTATTGCATATACATACATACGTACATAAAATTAATACAATACCTATTTTTACAATGACAAATTAAAATAATATTGACATTCAAAAAAGAACTCTTAAGCAAGTTTCATATATTATTACGTTGACGAAAAAAAAAAAAATTAAAAAAAAAGCAAAATTCTATTAAGGATCCAGTCTAAATATGATCATGAAGAATCTATTTTTGTATTCTAAAAGATTTTGGCACTTCATAGAATTCATCTTTACAAATGACAAAACATTTGTAATACTTTCACGGGTTTTGTGTAAAACTATAAAATTAAGTAATACGTTTGCTCCCTTATAAACGTGTTACTGTATTATTACTTTAGTTTTTATCAAAATTCATCCGTCCACTTAATTACCTACCCAATCCATCTGTCGACTATACAATCTTTGAGCGCCGTGCTTCGTTCTGGCTGGAAGGTTGTGTTCGGCACTGTTGTGTCCGCACCGTTGTCGAGGCAACATCGCGTCGCTTGCGCGCGCCACCGCGTGTGTATCCAATCGACATAATAAAATATTAAATCGTGTTATGTGTACAGTGTTTGCTAGTGAACCGGAAATGTTGATGCAACTGTGATCAAAAAGTTATTATAATGGCACTGAAAAAGGATTTCGAACTGAACAAGAACATATTCAAAAGCGTGAAAATTCAAATACCCAAACCCGTGAAGATACAGCAGGCGATAGACAAACTATTCAAAAGGAGCAACTACGAGAAAATAGTGCAAAGTTAACTTACGCTAACAGTTTAGTAGTAACAGGCATAGTTGATTAAATGGCCGGTGAAGTTAGTGCAAATATTAGTAGAAGTAGAAATAATAGTAGTCGCACCGAACCACAACCGCCCGATCGGAACAAATCGCCTAATTTTATAACAAATGAAACAGAATTCGTTGGCAGAGGAGACATATTGAGGTCGTCAACACCAATAAACAAGCACAGAAGAAGTAGAAGCAGAAGTAGTAGCAGGAAACTAGCAGCTTTAAACTTGTCCGCTGAAAACTTTTACGAGGATTTAGAGGAATACGTTAGAGAAATGTCAGCGGTAAGACAGAACGGTAGTATGGACGGAGAACAAGAACTGGACGTGTGGAGTCAACTCCAACAGAAGGAGTCAGATCTTCTGTTGGCAGCTGAACTGGGAAAAGCACTCTTGGAGAAGAACGAGGAATTGAAGAAGGAGCAAGAGCGTGTCGCCGAGGAGTACGGCAAAAAAGTCGAGGTAAGTTTTTTCTTTTTTTATATTACGATTTACGTCTATGATAATTTTGTTAATCTATGGTTAATTTTTTTCTTTGTTACTTTAAGAAGGTACAAATATGGTTAGGCCTTGGAACATTAAACTTATTTAATGAATTTAACCTTTTTAAATTGTAAGGCTTGGTCGAGAAAACCTTTGACTCGTTTTATTTCCTAAATATTTTTTTAATTTTCATTCTACATCGGGTGTTTTAATTGCAACAACAGTTGGTAATTAAGCAAATTGCGTATGTACTTATGTAGTTTAATTAAGATTCTTTGATTTCTGATTCGGTATAATTAACACTGGTTATTTATATGGAGTTAGGTACAGATATTATATTTATACAAATTTCTGTGAATATAGGATATATATAATAGGATAATCTGTACGCGTTATTTCTGGCAGTAGTAGTGCTGATCAGACAGAAGACTTTTTTGGAAGGCCCGATTTCTTATTCAAAGGTTCTTTAAATTATGGGGCTAGATCATTTCCTTTGCAAATAGATCTTGTGACGTAGTTAACTGAGAGTGAAATTAAATTGTTTAGTTTTCATATCTGATATAAAAACTGTATCTGAAAAATTCTTTAGATACGATCCTGTTTCATAATCTTATCTAGATGTCAATCATTTAGGAAACGACAAAAATTCGCGACAATTTTTAACTCTTTCGCCAACTATATAAGTACTTACCTAATTGCAACATCTTTATTGCTTTTAAAATATTACCAGTCTATTATCTAGTCTTCAATATTTCTTGTTAAAATGTTATCTATTCTTTTTTAATTTAATTTATATTCAACATGTTATATTATTGTAGTATAAAAATTTGATTTCTTATAGGTAGGTGTATTTCTTATTGTCAATGCCTTATTTTCTCCTAAAACCTTGCCACTGCGTCGTGTTTTAAGTGTTGTGATTTCATTGTTTTCATTTCACGTTGTATTTTATGGTGTTTACGATTGAGTAGGTATAATGAGTAATACTGGTTTTTGTTGCTTCAGACGATCTAATCAGCTTATCATAAAATGTTTATACTGCGATGTATCACTATATAAATCTAGATGTATTTAATTAAAATGTACCTATTGAACATTTTACTAACGTGCCATCATGTACATAGGTTCCGTTCTTTGCATTTTTTTCCTTATTATCGAGGATTGTGACTACCTTGGATAATCACTTATTCTCTATTTATATTCCTTCAGTTCGGTCTTTCATACCATGGATGGTATTGTAGAATATAGTGTCCAGAGACATGTAAATTTGATCAAACCAAATCCCTCCTGCAAACCTGTTTTGGCTGAGCGTGTAGTTGTTTTGAATATGACGACAGACTATTGTTGGAAACTGACATCTTATATATCAATATATATATATATTTGTATTTTTATATTACATTTGATGTTTTTTTATACCTTTTTCTCTATAAGTTTCTAAAATATATTCAATTTATGTGAATGTGCATAGTTTATTATTGTTCTCCAATCACAACTGTGAGAAATTTAAAATTATATGAATACAAATGTAATTTTACGATGTTTTAACTAAATTATCCGCTATTAACTGCGGCTTCATCTGCGTGTATCAGTATATAAAGTATCCTAATTGCTAAGTTAGGCTATAACCTATCCGTGTAGGGGAGAAGGGATTGTTAGCAATGGGGACTACCAGTCCCATTGCTAGCAATACGCCCTATCAGGTCAATCTCCGCGTGGACCCCTCTAGAACCTTCGTGTTGAATTCCAGGTGTATTCACCACGATGGGCTAACCGCCAGCATGTACCGTTAATGCAGGCAGAGTTACCATTCCATTGTCATTCGTTAAAAGACCTATCCGTGTGTAATTTCATCCGTGTACCAAATTTCATTCGAATCTGTCCAGTAGTTTTTGCGTGGAAGAGGAACAAATATCTATCCATCCATCGTTAAAAACATTCATATTTATGATATTAATACAAATATTATAATAAAATAAGTAATCAGACTGAAAGTCTTATACATAATTGAATGTAAAGGAAACAAAGGAAGTATCGCTAAATGTGATCAAGAGGTTATACAAAGCGTTTAATCTCTCTAGAAGGTTATGAAAAAACCTTTATGTAACTTATTATTTTACACAACGTTGTTCGCATTAAAAAACTACAATCATAAGGAACTAAAAGACTTACCTATTGAAAGTTGACGAAATGTCAACAATGGACGGTTTTTATTGCCCTTTTTTTGTCGCACACTTTGGAAGCGTCAATTTATTTACCGCCAATCGAAATAATGTTGTTTTAAAATTCGTCCAAAATTTAACAGGCAAAGAGCATAGCGTATACAGCTTAGTCGTAAACTACAATTGATACTTCCCATCGCATTAAAGTTTAGAAATGTTGTTATTACCTTTTTTTTAATTTGCACAAAGGCAGGCAAAGGTGGCTAGAACGTACAGCTAATTCTTTGATGTTAATAAAGCTTTCGAAGCCTGTTTATTAGTTTTTTCCTTCTTTAATAATATGGTTGTGTTCCATATAATTAATGAGGTATTAAGTAGATACGAAGTATAATACTTTAATTCAGTTTCGTGAACTATATTACTGGGCTTTATTTCGGAATACCTATTATCTGCGACATTTTCGATCAACTCTGCAGAAAGGCGTTGTTTTTAAGACTTTTTAAGTCGCGACAATATTAATCAAATAGACGTTTTAGAAATGTGTATTAAGTATGACATTCTCGATGATTGTCAATTGTTGAAACAGTTGCGTGTGCAATCTGTTTGCTCACCTGAAACCTAAAACTTAATGACGCAAAACAACATTCTAGAACAATAGCATTGTTTATATTATGTTACTGCTCACAGCCCAATACGTATACGGGTTACAGTGAATTATTGGCTGATTTTTCAAAATAATATAAATGACGCTATTTATTATGCATGTTACCCTATTTGAGGTTGTCGCTAAATCATCATGTATCATGGGTATATATGGGTATGGTATAATCGGTATCCATGGAACACTTGATGTGCAATTGCGATTCGTTGGCAAGTATGCGTATGAGTCTACTGGGAACGGTTTATCCAGAGCCAGGGGACTATAGATATCTTAAACCGCGGGATATCGTTAGGGTAATACATAGGATCTATGAAATGATGGTATAAGGCAGGGGGAAGCACAAAAGATCCGTATGGGTCGACGTGCATCGGCTTAGCTGACCCCATATGCGAAAAAATAAGATAAGATTATGGGAATTATGGGCGTCATAGTATGGGCACAGTACCTATACTATGATGCCCACGGCTATTACTTTCCATCAGGTGGTGTGTCAGCTTATTTGACATTTTAAGTTGCATAAAAAATAGATAACTCTTCCATTAATGAAAAACATTGTCAACAACCCCAAATTAATTCTAGCTACGCGGTATAAATTGGCGTATAGTCCCTGCATAGAATAGGCCACCCCTTCCTTTTCCGTGGATGTCGTAAGAACCGACTAAGGGAGGGCGAGGGATGGGCAGTAGCGTCCCTCTTAAAACATCTCCAAAGTTTAAATGCGGTTGCCAATTCACGTGCCAAGCGTGGTAACTACTGGAAAAACCCCCCCTTATGGGGAAGGCTTATGTTCAGCAGTGGACAATTAAAGGCTGATACAACAACAATAATACATGTAAAAATGTTGCATGCCAATTTTTTATGCAGTTTAGAATGGCAAACAAGCTGTCGGCCCACCTGATCGAAAGTGGTAACCGTCGCCTATGGACATGAGCGTACTGCTCATGAATATAACAGAGTATACTGTTTCATCCATGATACCTCCCATACGTTGCCATTCCTGAGGACTCAGGTGTTATTCCTCTGTACTGTGTAAATTCACTGCCATATCCCAACCTTTAAACCGAAACACAGTCATGCAAACACAACTGCTTCACGGTAGAAACACGAATGCGACAGAGGTGCTCTAGCAAACGAATTTTGTACAAAGTCCACCTTTGGTGCTGGTGGCCCAAATTGGCTGAATGTTAAAGCAATCAAAAACGTATAATATTATCTCAACTTACTACATTCATCGCAATTTTGATTTCATTTCATTATAATATTGAAATGTCTTACAACAGTCGTGAAGTAAACAAACGATGTACGTCACTGAAAAGAAATTCTAACGTAAATGTCATAAGTATTGGAAATTAGTTAAACATTAGTACTAATTAGTTAATGACCATCACATTACCGTTCCTTGGCTTAGAAGTGTCCACTTAGATTACCACTGGTCATTGATCCAAGTTGTACAAGCAACTAAGTATGTATGGATAAACACTTATTACAGTGAGATGAGTGGGTCCACGGATGTTTTTAATGGATGGTAGATAGATAGATAGATAAATAGATAGATAGATACTCTTTATTGTTTCCTCCAAAAGATTACAATAGTAAACTTATTATAAATATAAATAATTACAAGAAATAATCACAATGCGAAAACTACGGGCGACCTTATCGCTAAAAGCGATCTCTTCCAGGCAACCTTTAAATGGAGAGGAGTAATTATAAACAAATGGTAATAAAATGGTAACTTCGCCTGATCTATAGATGTACGCTGGCGTGGTCCCATCCCTCACTAATGCCTCGTCTGTGTATATCGAAAACACAGACGGGGTTACCATTTCATTTTCATCCATTAAAAAAATAGGATAATAAATCCGTTATATTATTATCGTTGATTGTAATTAATTATACACCTTTTAATCCATTACAATTAACCAGTTCATATTTCCGAGTCAAAAACCCATTTACTCGAATTCAAATGTCCAACCTGTACGGGCTTGGCCACTCTCACGCGCCACAGCTAACTGTGAACATGATTCACTCCTGCGAACAATGCTTTTGGGTTTTAAAACATTTTTTGTTGGCTTTTGATCACGCGGCGCTTTTGTTTGTGGATTATGGTGTTTTGCTGTTGTTTAGATTTATTACATCATTGCTACTGTAGCCCTGAG